ATGGTGCAATCTCATTTTGCACGTGTCAGTACACTCGAGGGAGCGTTTTCAAGTTCGCTCAATTCGCCCCGGGAGCTGGCTCCCAAATATTTAACTGGTTAAATATCGTGGAGCATTTTGCGGGGTGGAAATTCTGCTCCCGAGGATGAAGTATACCCATGAAATCGTTGGTACACACGGAGGAGCTTTGCTCCCGGGGGTTTGCCCCTGGAGCATGCTCCGGGATCAAAATCCCTCGCGTGTATCGACCTTTACAACCAACCAAAGAAAAATCAAATCAATTGAATCAAAGAAGCTGTTACTCATTTCTTCTAAAGAAAGTAAAGGAACATGCTCTAACTTTCAATCTCTCTTTTTTGATATTTTTCTGTTTGTTCGTGTTCAAGTTTTACCTGAAAGTATGTATGATTGAGTGAACTGTTATATATTGCTGTTTTCCGGCTTTGTATTGACTGACTAGAAACCTAAGGAACATGATGTTTAATAGCCGAATAATTATCTATAGCCAAAAGCAAATTCCAACCAAAGGCCGGATGCAAGTGAATGACACGACTCTTTAGTTATTGACTTAATCTTAAACACGACGATTTCAGCATTTTACTAAAATCACTAAAAATGTAATAGGAGAAAAGGAAACAAAAATTAAGCTAATGAATCAAGAAACACTAAGATACTCAAATCTATAGCAATACAAGGAGCAAGGCACCCTCAAATTGTTGGCACCGTACTGGCGACTTATGGAGGCGGCAATAGCCATTCACACGATCCAAAATAACAATGTTTTCCTCGCATGAGATTGGCACCGCTTATTTTTCCGTTGTGTCTTTATTGAAAATGGCGGAAAAATAAAAACTGCAATTCTTTGCCGTCAGCAGGTCAGAGTTTAAGAGTAAAATGCAAGGTGCAGTGCCGAAGATTGATATATAAAGAGATAAATCGTCATCTGAAAAAAAAAAATAGTGAAACAAGAATAAAAGCACAAAAGCAAAAGTAACTTATTCTCACCACCTTCAATACTCATCAACAGACATGAATATAAGCCAACATTAACACTTACTTCTCACTGAGGACAAAATGTTGGCTTAGGGGAGGGGTAAGTGGGCAGTTTCCTAGAAACGTATAATGATCCAAATAGTCACTGTTCACAGGTGTGGACAGCAATACATTCACACGCATTGAAAAGGCAGTGCACTGCTTCATGCCTGGGGGCTGGGAGGGTGAGTCGCTGACTGCCCTCTGAGATGTTATGAGACAAATGCACAAACCATAGGCAGAACGGTCGTAATATATACAACGCTAGGAATTGTGGGATATCTATTGTTATAAAAATATTCTTGCTTTATTTCCGGTATTTTGGCGAAACTTTTTTCTTTGCATTTTTGTGCAGTCCTTTCTCTTCTTACAGGGTCTTGAAGGGGAGGGCGGAGTACTGATCCCGCAATCCCGCTCCTTTTCCCCGAAAATCCCGCATCCCGCACTTTTTTAATCGCTTTCCTGAATCCTTTTTTTTCTCCAAAATACATACCTTAAAAAAGACCAATTGCTGCAAAAGCCAATAAATGTAGGATGTAGATTGATGTTTCGATTGATATCTTAAATTTACGCGTGTTTTAAGGCCATGGCAAAAAAGAAATTGCTTTTCTTAGCTCAGTATGACAGAGCGCTCTAAAGTCACATGGAAGGATATGATCCAAATTTCTTCAATCGAAGTTATTGAATTAGATAAGTTACGTTTTGTTGATTTTAATTTTTTAAGAGCTCTACCATAGGCGTACGGGCCCGGGGGGCGAGGGGGGCTGCAGCCCCCCCAAATTTTGGGCAACTCAGAGTTTTTGGGCAGCGAGAGAAAATTTGGGCAAAGTCAGTTTTTAACGACGTCGCCATGATGAAGACCTGAATATTAACCTGAAGTCGACGTAATAATCCAGTTACATCACAGCGGTTGCCTAGCATGTGATGAGTAATTTACATCTTTGCAGTTTTTTCAATGTTGGGCACTATGCTACACTGCACTAGCTGGAATGGGCTATTTCCAGTCGTGAATTGATTAAAATAAACTTTCGCATAACTTTCTAGAATCATCTCCACTCGAAGAACAGTGTATGGCAGATAGCATTAGCAGTGGGTATGAAAATGAAGAAGTGGCTGACTACTGAATTCTCAGTTTGAATTAGTATAGGTAATAGCATGATTTGTAGTGATATTTGGCATAAATACCACGAGTGATATTTCGAAATTTTTATACGTACCACTGCTCTAAGCCAATCAAATTGCAGAAATTTCTCATGTAGTAGTATAGCGAGAAGAATCTTAATTCTTTTAAAAAATCCATCGAGCGGTTTAAAATTATTCACTAATTTGTTAAAGTAGACCGAAATGTTCGCAAAACCGCTAACAAGAGTGCCTGGATACATACTAATCAAATCCTTCTTTCGATTCTAGCAATCAAGTAGAGCTAGGCCACGATCTTTCACACATGTTTTTAAAAAGATTAAAACTACTATGAGGTGAAATTGCATGTCAAAAGCTCTTCGTTTTCTACAGATAACGGCCAGACATGAAGATTTTCCTTTTCTTACCGTATTTCTAATAATAAAAACTTCTTTCCACAATATATGAACGATTTTGTAAGGTTCCCCGTGCCGAGAATTATGGCTGAGGTAAAATAGGTAATGGGGTCATTTCGTTGCCATGACAACTCCGATGTCATTACAGCCCTGATGATGAAAAATTGTCATCTTAATACAACTGTGGTCGCAATTTTTCCACATGTTTGTTTACGGCGACGTAGTTTATGCTCGACATGCTATTGACCCTGGAAAACTGTATCGAGCCACTTTCATATGCCAGGACGACCTATGTTGTTGTAATATAGAGTACTAAAGTGTGACGTCATAAAAATGAAATTTCTGAAATTATGGGATTTGTTAGGATATTCTGAAAGAACAATTTCCAAGAGGCCTACTTGCCAAAAATGAGCATTTCGGGGCAAATTGTCTCTGAGATCGTAGCCCAGTTATGCTTACAAAATTCCATACAAACCCTTCTAAATTTTTTTGGGTCGACCCAAGAAAAAATTAGAAGGGTTTGTATGGAGTTTTCTGAGTATAACTGGGCTACGATCTCACAGACAATTTGCCCCGAAATGCTTATTTTTGGCAAGTAGGCCTCTTGGAAATTGTTCTTTCAGAATATCCTGACAAATCCCATAATTTCAGAAATTTCATTTTTATGACGTCATCACTTTAGTACTCTATGGCGCTCATTTCTTTTCGACTCTTTCGTAAAAATTTGGGCAACTTGAAAGAATTTTTTGGGCAAATGGTTTACCGCCCCCCCTGGCGAAAAAAATTCCCGTACGCCTATGAGCTCTACTTACAGGCTCTGTGAGTAGCTCTATTAAAACGTTTTTTCACCTTTTTTCGAATAACCGCCTCCTTTCCTTTTCTGTTCGTCACACGGGCAAGGCATTCGATTCCGTTTCTGGTTTATAGAGGATTTTTCAAAGTTTGTCTGCACCCACATTAATCCAAGAAGAAGGAAAAAACGAGAAAGGTTTCTCTTCAGTCATTTGAAGTCATCCGTATCTCCATAATAATGTGGTAGATTTTTCCTCATATAGATTTAGCCTAATGACATTTCATTTCGATGAAAAAAAAATTGCAGGCTCGACCAAGTCTACCAAGTTCGTAGCTCCTTTTTAAAGAGAGCGCGAGAAACTGGGAACTAAAATCCGAAAAAGTCGCGTGCGACTAAGCACTAGCATTAAATCCAAGATGGCGGATTTAAGGAGAGTATTTTCCCTCTTCTTTTTGGCCTTCATTTCGCGCCTCTTCCTCATATACAGTCCCGTTAAAGACTGGTTCATCAACCGAATAGAGCTTTCTACACCACTGAATGCATGGAACAGAGGTAAACTTGGGTTTGAAAATAACGATAACTACAATCAGCTGTACAATCATCGTCAAAAGTGTTGGGAAGGTTGCCCTTTTTACCTCTTCTTTTCCTTTCTCCCCCCGCCCCGGGCCCAATGTTGATCAAAACGTTAATGTTTGCGGGCGTAATTGTTCTGTTATATCCCAACATTGAATAGGGGGGACGGGGGATATTTAGCAAAAGAGAAAACTCTCTTTTTTTCAGGATTAAAATGGACTACTGTTAAGTTGTACAACCTTTCCAACTACTTTTGTCTGTGATTGTAGTTTTCAAAGATGAGTGTGCAAGTTGTGAGCAGTAGCTGCAATTGTCAAAATGGGCAATAACAAAAAGATAGGTTGAAACTGTGACCATGGGGGAAACAATTACAAATACATGAGAAAGATATCAACAGGAACATAGCTTCCTTCTCAGTACTCCATCTTTCCCGGGTGTATTACGAACCAATTTAATGACAAGCTCCCAGTTTATAGCTTGGTAACTCAATTGGTTAAAGAGAGCTGGGTTACCGGTTATCTCGCCCCCAAGTCATTTTGCCCTGGTTACTTAGCCCTTCTATTCTAGAACGGGGAATAACTATTATGTTTGAAGCATGCTTGCTTTGGTTTATGGCTTAAAGAACAGGGAATATTACATTTGAAGCACACTAAATGACATGAAAATGGGGGCTAAGTAACCGGGGTGAAATGTCCAGTTACTAAGCAGTCACAGACGTCAGTGTTCGAATCCCTGTTATTTAAAGGGGCTATGTCAGCTGGAGAGCATACGCTCTGAGGTTATGCAAATTACTTTCAACTGTCACAATCCTATTGTTTTTAATGCGTGACTTTCTCCATGTTCTCTGTCACGTCCAAGGCTCCAAAGTCTTTGTTTTGATCTTAGGGAAACATAACATACATTATCGCGCAAAATTGTTCGATCATGCCAAATCACTGCGACGTCGAGGAAAACAGAACCAAGCATCATTGGTATACTACTCCACTATAAGCAGTCCGTTGATAAAAAGGGAAAGTAAACTCTGCTATTTTCCAAAAATATGCTCGAACACAAACAGTTCAAAAACGTGGCATTTACAGGATCTAACTCGTACTAAGCTGCCTCTCTAAGTCCGTTGAGAACAATCTGGACGGGCAAACGGTCGTGTTTATCTTTGCCGTGAATCCAGATAAATACAAGAAGGAATCTAGCCGAATTTTATAATGTTTCCTTCGCCAGGAGTTTAGTTTCGTCACGAAACTCATGGCCTGATTCTCTTGTAATCGTTTACAAAAAACGGCCGCCGCCAACTCGATAGCCGCTTCATTATATGTCCAAATACTTTGAGCACAAGAAAAATCCAAGAGCCAGCAGCCTCTAAAATAACTCAATAAAAAGGTTCTGTGAACTATAGGGAAGATTCCATCAAAGATTCCATCACTCATTGTGGAGTAGGCGTCATTAACTCTGCCATTACAATGGCCGCTGATAAGAGGACACAGTAAATCCACGTAAAAACATTCCACAGGCAAACAATTTCAAAATAACGCCAAAAAATTATTCTGTAATCACCATAGAATGATTCTTAATACAAAACTTCGCTAACTATCGAACGATGGCTGAGATTTAGACAGATAAAAACAGCCTTCCAAAATCTCCGACACAACTTGAAAAAGTCGGGCCATCTTTTTCAAGTTTGTTTTCATTGGCTCGGGCATGCATGAGGGGTGACATAGCCCCTTTAAAGCCTGAAAAAAATTTTTCAGGCTTTCTCTTCGCAACTGCATGAGTTGCGTATTTCACAATGATGATCTTCTCTTCATTTATTTCTGATACATTACTAGATTGATTTAAATCAATTTTGATCTGTTTTTATTGAGTCTCAAGTATCAGTTAGCTACATCCTGACTGATAGTATAATTGTTTATCGATATACACTATTTTTATCTTCAGCGCATAAATTTACTAAAATGTTGTAAATTGAAAGAACTGCATCTTTCTTTTTTGCTTTCATGACTTGACTTATTTTTAAGTAAACTTGTCAATGTATTTTACAGTTCAAGAAGGCCTCTCTCTTGTTAAACTTGGAGTTTCACCTTACTCTGGAGATATTGTACACGAGGTGAGATAGATCTTAAAAGAGGAATAAAATTTGTGAAATCCTATTTCAGCTGTTGATAGTTCTATCTTTCTTCATTTAGCAATTTAAGCAAAAGTAACTTATGTACCAGTCAATTCCACACCCCCCCTCCCCCCCCCGCACACCCAAGGCATTTGACTTTTTCGAAAAATTTTGGTCAAATTCACCAGTATCTTGGCAGTTTAGGTGGTCAAATGCTCCACCGGCTAGGGTTTCAAAAATTTTCAAATCCCACACCCACCACCGACTATTCAAAAGTTTTCCCTTGCATCAAACTGTCTTTTCAAATGTAAATATCCTACTAAACACAACCCAAATATCTTAAGTCTTGGAAAGCTGTCTTATGGAGGTTTGTTCATTTCAATAAAACTGATGGTTTATTCCTGTAAGCCCACATTTAACTGGCTTTTCCAAAGGCTCTCAAATGCTCTGAAATTGCAGTGAATATAAGAGCATTGACCTGTGGCATATACTAAATGTAGAGAGAATTTCTAAATCCTTTTGCTTGGGATGCTGACCAGCGTTTTGACATGAAAGTCAAATGCATGACTAGGCAGGCCTCAGTTTGGTCAAATTCCTCTCTGTATGGCACAAACGCCAGTCAAATAATGCCCAAGATATTGGAAAGCTGTCTTATGGAGGTTTGTTCATTTCAATAAAACTGATGGTTTATTCCTGTAAGCCTACATTTAACTGGCTTTTCCAAAGGCTCTCAAATGCTCCAAAATTGCAGTGAATATAAGAGCATTGACCTGTGGCATATACTAAATGTAGAGAGAATTTCTAAATCCTTTTGCTTGGGATGCTGACCAGCGTTTTGACATGAAAGTCAAATGCATGACTAGGCAGGCCTCATTTGGGTCAAATTCCTCTCTGTATGGCACAAACGCCAGTCAAATAATGCCCAAGATATGCCAGGGGGATGGGCAGTTTTGGAATTGACTGGTATGCTACTCTAAAATAGCGTTGCTTTATCTCAGTTTTGTTTGTTTTTTACCAGACACCACTGGTGCTAGCAACATTTCTTGGAGTACAGGAAGTATCAGAAACACTTTTTCCTGCTGTGTTTGTGGTGAGTTGGAACACATTATTTAAGACAAAGTACACCTATTATTGTACAGAAGACTTAAGAAATAAAACAGGACATTAACTTTGTTAATTTAAACATACCATCACAAAGTCATCATTTCATGGACTATATCCATGGCAACACTCAAAAGCCATTAAATTTTGCATACTTAATCGCGTGACTTCTACAATGATATTCATCCTATCTGGTGTACTGTAGCACTGGGAACATTGACATACTGTCAGCTGAAGGTTTTTTTTACCTTCAATTAGGAAAGTTTTATTATTGCACACAGTTGACAATGAAGTGTCTGCATTAGTTAGTTTAACTTTCTATGAGAATCTGTTGATCAGCCAAAAACCAAGTGTCTATTGTTCACATCAGAGGGGTGTCCATATTAAGGAAGTTGGATATTTTTAGAAAATTGTAAGGGCTTTCCTTAGGGACGATGGCTGTCTTTACACTAGGCTGTTAAGTAAGACTTAAGAGCTACTAAGTTTTACTTAACCAAAAGTGCACGTGTGAAGGCCTAAGTAAAATCTCAAGTAACTTTACTTCACATCTCATCAAAGTCGGAAAGTTGAAACGATTCAAGAAAGTGTCAAGAGACTTGAAAACTATCCTTAAGGCCGACATAGCCAACTTGCGGTTTCTAAGCTTTGAGAAAGGCGAAGCATGTCAATCAATCTTAATTATGTTGCATGGGAAAATAGGCTTAAGGTAAACCTGAAGTAAAAAAGATAGGTTGTGTGTGAAGCTTTCTTTTACTTAAAGAATTTAAAATTTACTTGTCTTGAAATATTTCTTAGGTTATTTAGGTGCTAATGTAAAGACTACCAATGAGAACTCTTGGGTTTGACTATATTTACTTTTATATTGCGCATGATATTGAAGTGATGTGTTTAAAGGTTTTCCCCACTGGCCTGTGCAGTTTTTTGTATTTATATAGTTTTCTTCACATGTAGGTGGGTGACTTGATAATTGGATGGCTCCTTTACAGGCTAGCTTGCCTTCACTCCAACATGCTGGTATGATCATTTAACACTCAAATTGTTTAATGATTGGTTATTATGAATATAAGAAGTATATTTTGAAAGAAATTTAAAAGGCAACAAGCACTAAGACTTCTTATAGTAGTTGAAAGTACAGTCAATGCCTGATAACTGGAGCCTTCCAGGGAAATCAAAAAAAGTTCAAGTTATCGGTAGTTCAAAGCAATAACTGAAAATGAGGAAGTACATGTAAGGAAATGGGATAGGAAAGCAGTGGAAGTACCATGCAAAGTTTACTCCAGGGGAAACAAGAAATACAATGATATTTGAAAAACAAAGTTTGATTACTATACAGAGCTGGACACTGTACTTGAAGTGGACTGAAAAAAGGTATAAAAGACAAAGAATACATGTACATTATTGGCACGGATGTTTTTGATCAAATTCAATGTTTGTGTTTAAAAGAAAGAGATGGTCAATTTTAAGTTTAGTCAACAAATAAGAAATTTATAAAGTTTTCATTATTACAAATATTTGGGAAAAAAATAAGTCCTGGACAAGAACATTGCCCATGAACATTCAGATACCAGTCAGCAGGGCTAATAGGAGCTTGTAGCTTGTAGGGCAGGTCAAATTTAAACCTAAGGGTCCAGGCAAGACTACTCTAATAAAATCATAAACTAAGACAAGGAAGAAGTGGTTCTGGGCAAACAAAATGTAAGAGTTGCTTGCCCAAAGGACAAACTGGAATTCAAGTTTTTTTTCAAGCCCTGTTTAGGCATTGTATCCATGATCTAACTGTTGCAGACACATTTAATGATGATTTCTTTTCAGTCTTGTCAAGCTGAAATGGTTTTGTCTTGTTAGTCCCAGAGGCTCAGGGATATTGGCAACTGATGTTCCTGTAAAAATAAGCAGAATCCTTTTTTTAAGAAATGGACCATAATAAGTTTTGAGGTGGCGGGATTGGTCCATGACAAAAAAAATTTGCACTAGAAAATTAGGGGAAAAAATTGTGCAAATCCCATCTACTCTTGGAATTCTTCCACTCTTCTCTCCCCCATCAAAAATTAAATAGTCCATTCCTAATAGATAGTCTTACATACTCTTTTTTTGACTGGTCATGTTTGTATGACCTCATTAATCACAGTGTTGTTGTTTTCGTTGGTCTTTTCACAGTTAAGTGATCAGACAGCAAATTTAAAATTCTTTGCCAAGTCTGTTGAGCCAATTTTAATCAAGCAGGAAGCAGTGAACAACATTCCTCTTCTAGTATCATCTGTGTAAGTTTGCTTTCTCCTCCACAACAAGAAAACATAGAGTAACCATAATCCTGAAATAAGGGCGTGATTTTTTTTTTTGTGAAGGATATATGAGAATAATTTTAAATGTTTCTTGATGCACTGCAAATAAACAGTACTCAAAATAATGTGAATAATTTTGCATTTTTGTTAGTTTTCTTTGAATGTCAAGAAGACAATTCTCTGCAATTTATGAAGTGCCAAGATCAAAGTTACCAGATTTTGTGACAAAAAAAAAAACTAAGAAAATTTTGGGGCTAGTAAACAAAGTTTAAGATCTATAATAATTATTTGCTTACAAACTGGTGATAATTTATTGTGAAAAATATTATTATAATAGGTATCTTGTTGACACACTATTATTTCTTTGTTGTTTTGTAGTTATTTGTTAAACCCCTATACTATTGGCTCTTGTGTAGCACATTCCACTGTGATGTTCACTAACTTGGCAGTCACAACTGCACTCTATTGTGCTCTAAAAGGTTGGTTTATTTCCTCATTCCCCAGAAGTCAGTAATAATTACTGTAATTAAATTGAATTTATCATCCTTGCCAGCTATGTTGTAGTATCCTATGTAGTCTAGGTGGACTGTTAAATGAGGACACAATTAAAAGCCTAGGAGACATACATACATACTTACATACATACGTACATCTACATGTACTTTATTTAACCTCAAATTTAGAGTGGCCAAAGATAAGCTTCAGTGTAGTACATGCATCTTCAAGTTACAAGACAAGAATAGTATAGTTATAAATGCTACTAAAATTGTGAAATTAATTACAACATTCTAAACTTTTAAACTACTGAAAATAGTCATACTGTAGAATCTTGTGCTGGAAATCAGAATAGTTAGAAAAAAATCTGAAAGAGAGCTCCAAAGTTTTGAAGCCATATAGGAAAAGGAATTCGGACCATAAGTAGTAGTTTTTGGAGACAGTAGAGACAAAACATAATTACCGGGTAGACTGTAGGATGTAGACCAGAGAATACTGGTAGGTGTTACCTTATTGAACAAAGAGAAGAACTAATTTAGAACAAATCTAAATTGTTTTAATGATGGTTTCAAACTCCAGACTCAGTTCAAAATTGTCTCTGTTTGCATTGTTTCTTTTGTTTTTGTCGTTATTGTTGCTCATGCTGTTTTAATAAACATTTTTGTGTCAAAAGTAATCACAGTTGATGCAACAGTATTACAATCAAACCTCTTCTCACAGACACCTCTACAACCAAGACTCCTCCATTATGAACATTTCTCATTTTTGTTAGGATACAGAACTTTATAGAAATAGCTTATCTTAACAGAAGAAGCACCTCTACAAATACAAAGGCTTTGAGCTGTCCCTTGTAGGTTTCACAGTTCATAATTTATAGATGCTTAAAAGCATTGATGAAATGCAACTGTAGAAGATGGATTGCAGCTACAGGTTATCAGCCGTAACATTTAAATGTATATGATTGTTTTGCATTGTAGGGAATATTCTTGTCAGCACTCTTGGAGTTGCCTTTGGTGCTTATCATTCTTTGTATCCTATAACGTTACTGCCACCTGTTATCCTTATAGTGATCAAGGTAAATGCATTTTCATGAGAAATACAAACTATCATTAATTTTATTACATGTAGTTCGAAACTGTGTTAAGAAGAAAATAGTCAAAACTTATGTTGTTGGTTTAACAGCATCCTCGGAGGCCCAGGGTAGAATAGTTGGCTCAGCAGAAACGGCGCCACAAAAGTTTTCAAGCACGGGCAGAGCTTTCGTGGCACCGTTTGTGGCAACCCGACTATCTTCCCCTGGGGCTCCGAGGTTGGTTTGACACATGTTTGACAACTACATTCCAAAAACCAATCTCGTTCCCAGCGGTAACGTGGACCCTGGGATTGACATTTTCCTTCAATCCAAAAGTTACCACTAAAAACCCATTCACCATTTAAGAAATCGAAGAAAACTGAGCCTAGTTGACTTTTGCAAAATTTGCCAATAATTGACTGATGCTTCCCTTGTAACCATCCCAGAAACAATTGCGGGACGCATTCCCTAGAAACCATCCCAGAAACAATTGCGGGACGCATTCCCGCCCCAGTTCCCTTTTCGTTATTTCTAAAATGGTCGGGGGGTACTCCCTTATGAAGGGGGCAGGGATGCTCGTCATCTCGCTTAATTAGGGGTGTAAATTTCGGATTTTGGTCTTACTTAGGATGTTCTGTAATCATGTAAGTTTGGGCTACGCCCAGATTGGTGTCTTTTAGTGGTTTAATTCAAAACTTCCGAAGAGCCTTCCCGCCCCTTTCATATGGGAGTCCCCCCCGGGGGGGGGGGGTAAAATGGCAAACTGAGTTCAAAAACGCCGACGGTTAAAGTCACTTTGGGTCTGCTTGTGGTCACCTTATGTCTTTTAACAATAAAACAGGGAAATATATCCCAGCCTTTACAATTGATTAACGACCCTTTAAAAATATGGCTTTGCTGTGTAATCCTTATAAGAACGATATTTTTTCAGTCCTCTATGTTAGTTTGAACAATAGCTTATAAGTATAATTATTCTTCTGCATTTTAGGTTCGGTCAATTGATGCTGAATCCAACAAGAAGTCACTTGTGTTTGTTAGTAAAGTTATTGCTTCATTCGTAACGTGGATGGTTCTTTTGCTTGGAATGTCCTACCAAGTGTTTCAGTCCTGGGATTTTCTTACAGCTACACATGGATTAATGTGAGCTTCTATCAACATTCATTTCTTTTAAAATGACTTGGGTTTTTTAGCAACCATCCTGGCACTGCGTTTGGGCTTTTGGTTCTCCGATTCAAATGCAGAGATTATTCAAAGCTTTTTTAAGATAACGCGCAGTGCATTGCAGTTTGCTGGTGAATGGATAAAGTACGTGAATACTTGTAAAGCTTTTTAACCCATTCATTCTTGGCTTTGAGCAAAGTCAAGGTTGACGAAAAAAGTTCGAATTTCTTATAAAAAACAAAGATCCATGAAAGTATGGGATAGGTTTGAACAGTAAAGGCATTTTTGCTCTTGCTGGAATGGAAAACATAAGCTGAATTTGGATCACTCGTCGATGGAACCAGTAGACTAGTGGCGCAGGGTACATATAATCACAATTCGCTTCAAGCTCCGACTGTTTCTAGCCTGAAATTCATCCGATTGCTTTGAGTCGTTTTCTCCTCTCAACAAAGTCTGAATCGACCGGACGTTAATGCCGTCCAGTGACGTCACTCACTACCCGAAAACCGGGTAGTGATTTTGATTGGTTGATTGTCTAAACATTGGCATAATTATGTATAATTATGAAAAATTTTAGCGGGGTTCTCGCTTAAGGTGGCTGAATACAGTTTTGCGGGTGGTCAGCGGTAACTCGCGTGACCGCGCGTGTTACAAACTTGGCGGCGAAAAAGCAATGGTACACAGAAGACGATTTCTCAAAATCTACTCATTAAAATTTTGTGATATTTAGCACAATTTTTATTTTTATCGTATTTTAGATAATGAAAACTTTAAAATGGAAGTTTAACAGACGAACTTCGTGACACATTTAATAATAACAATACAATTATATTATTGATTATCTAAAAGTCCGTCTGTTAAAATTTGATCAAATAAGTTTCAAATGGTAATGATTAGTTATAGTAAGCTGTGTGCAAGTTTATAGGAAAATCTAATGAGCGAATTTTATGTAAACTGAACAAAAGTGACATTTTAAGGTTGTATTCAATCATTCATGAACGGTACCTTTGATGCTTTTGCAGTTTAAAATGGACAGTTAGTTTTAGAAAGTAGTCATATAAAAAGTGAACGGTTCAAAGTCGAACACTCGACGTTGGAAAGAGAACGGTACTAAACCGTTTACTGTTACACTCACAAAGTGCCAAAACTGTGTTCAGCCACCTTAATATTCAGCGGATCGCATCCCAGCCATTCTTTCGTTTAGTTCAAACATTTCGATAAGCTTAATCTTTATCTTAAACAGCAAAATTGCCCTTGTTTTCGAAACTGAAATCCTAAATTGAACTGCGAATGAAGAATCATTGTGGAGAGTCGGTAGGTTTTTCATTTAGAGCCGCTTTGTGGTTTCGGCGGCCGGTGATTTTGCTTACGCGAACTTTTCTGAGATCAATGTTATAATTCGACTTTCTTGCTATTTTTACCGTCAAGTGTAATGATTCTGTTAGCTTTTCTTTCTTGTTTCCTTGTTTTTTTTCTTCGTTAAGGACCAAATAGCTTCTTTTCAATTAAAGCAAATCATTGTATTTTTGAACTAAGTGTTCCGTGTGTGTGCTTATTTCATTGCGTGATTGCGACCGAGTTTGATTATAGAATTTGGTACAACCGGTTCAGAGTTGTACTGCATGCAGTTGATAGTTTGAACGTTAAACATGAATTACGATCGAAAAAAATAAAGCAGTTATGTATCATGCAGTCATTTCCAAACGATATTTCTCGGTTTGCCACTTGAAAATCGTGTTTTACTTTTTGCATGAATTACAGCAAAGTCAAGGAGAAGTGACGTCACTGGACAGCATTAACGGCCGGTCGATTCAGACGTTACTGAGGGAGTAATAACGACTCGAAGTAATCGGATGAAATGCAGGCTATTTTTCAGCTTGAAGGTTTTAGTTTTGTGACAAATTGGTTCTATCGAGGAATTATCCACATTCAGCGACACGTGAAACAGATTCGACACATGTGCAATGCGACGTTAAAACCAGGCGTTAGTTCCAAGAAATCGCTCAAAATTGTGTCCCCAAAAATTGTAAGCTAAGAAGCGTAAGGCAAGTTATAGCGGTTAGTATTTCGTGTTCTTCATTGTGTTTATAAACAAAAGGTACAAAATGCTATACTTTATGATAAGTTTAATCTGACTATTGTCTGTTGTTTATTCCCCAGTTTACAGGTCTCTGATCTGACGCCTACCATGGGTCTCTTCTGGTATTTCTTCACTGAGATGTTTGAACATTTTAGGAATTTTTTTCTTTGGGTTTTTCAATTGAATGCTTTCTTCTACTGCATTCCGCTGACCATCAAATTAAGGTACGACATAAAAAGTAAATTCATTTAATAGTGGAACATACAGTGAGTATGGTTATGTAATAGCTGCTGATCGTGCGTACTGGGACCCGTTTCTAGAAAGTCACTATTCACTTTTCGGGCCTGAAGCCTATTTCTTTTTTGCCCGAAGCCCGAAATCAAAGTCTAACGGAAAAGCTGGCTAACAAAGCAGTTCATTTACCCGTTTTTAACCGACTGGTTTATAATTTTAACTGCAAATCTATTGAAACCATTATTGAACCTTGGTCTTTGTAAACAAAACAGCTTTGCAGGCCTGGAAATTACCCCGACTTTCGAGGAACGGGCCCCTGAAAGCCATATTGTAGCTCCCTAACAAGATCGTTTATTGCTCTGCTTGCAAAACCAACAAAACTGTCGTTCTCTGCACCAAATGCGTTATATAAACATAAAACAGCTTTCGGAGACCGAAAATAAACGAGACTTTTGAGGAACGAACCTTACATGCCCATGCAGCAGATCTTTCGCATGGAGCGACGGCTTTTCTTGGCTTTTGTGTTTTTTCATCAGTGCGGGGTTAAAAAGTTTAGCACGAATAAAGTTTCGTTACAACACTCAGTGAAAATAGACGCGGTCGAGTTTATTTTTGCTTCTCTTTCTTACCCGAAACGTTTTCATCGGATATTCCGGTTTCCTTGCCTTCTCAACAACCAACACCAAATTCGAGTTCGATCGCGAACGAACGAACAAATGTGAAAAGAGTTATTAAGAGAGCTCTTAAGTAAGTGCTTCAAGAGTAATGAAATTGCATTTACATTTATTTCATTTCTTATTTGTATGCTTTCTTATATTATGTAGTTTTTTGAGGCTATTTTTTATTGCTGAATCCTTTTTTGTCGTTATTTGCAGGGATAACCCAACATTTCTTGCGTGTATGCTATGTTCAGTGATGGCCATCATGAAGTCGTATCCTTGTCTGGGTGACGCCGCTGTTCCATTAGCTCTTCTTGCACTTTGGATGCACATCTTTCCTTGTAAGTATACATTTTCGATTGTGCAGCTATTTGTTCAAATAGTTACCGGCAGCTTTTTACTCTTAAAATCCAAGGCCAATCAAAGGTTTCAACGAAGTAATATGATGTTACCATTCAAATTAAAGCTTTTAAACGGAATGTTTGCACATTGCTTTTTATTGCTTTACGTTTTTGGTCCATTATTAGAAGGGAGAGAGTTCAGTAAAGCACAGATTATAACTCACTCGGAACAACACGTGCTAAGCACGTGAAACGTGAAAACCGCGTGCACGAGGAAGCACGAAGAAGAGAGAAGCCATCAATTTAATATCTCGGAGCAACGATCAAATGTCTCGTCGTTCACCATGCCGCTATCTCTGCACATAATTTTTCAAACGATTTACAGTTCATGCATAAATAACTTTACTTCAGCGTATTAAGAGTTATACACCGCTTCAATAAAAAGTCCATAAAGAACGCAATGGAAAGGTCATTCATTACATGGGAATTTTGTAGGATTTTTTGTACTCTATGTGTAACAATCTTCAATGCGAGAGTTCCCTTTTTTCGTTTTTCAGATCTCAGAAACACTCTTCTGATCACTTGTATGCTGCTCTGTAGCTCTTTCTTGGCCCCAGTCTTCTGGCAGCTGTGGATTTATGCGGGAAGTGCGAACGCTAACTTCTTCTTTGCAATCACATTAGCATACTCTACTGCCCAGGTAACATCGGTTCTTATGGTCAGATATTTTACTCCTGTTGGAAATTGTAATGGTGAACGCTTGCCGTATGAAAATCCGATATTACCAGGTCCAAATCTTTGAACAAGGAGTCGCAATCGTCTTGTTATCAAAGGCTTAAATTTTCATAAGGGACTGTTTTTAAAGCCAAATTGTTTTCTCGTAATACTAATATCATCCGAATTGTCAATTTGCGTTTGTACTTTTACTACCAAATTTTTAGAAAATTTTCTCCACGTAAGATTTTGGATTTATAACCAGATGGTTGTTTTAAGTTGGGCAATTGTAAATCTCGTTCAATAATGAGAAGGGGAACAACAAAAAAGCATTCAAATTTAATCGCCTACAGGGAAGAGGCGGATCTAGGGTAACCTCGGGTACTCACCATTTCAAAAGTGGCAAAACCGGAATTTCCGGCTGAAAAGTCAAATAGCTCGCTCCATTCCGTCCGGGAAGGTTCAGAAAAATACGGACTCCGAATTGACGCGACGCAATTTTAGTGTTTTCATTCTGTGTAGCAAATGTGGATATACTTTGTAGTGATTCACACTCCCACCACGTCAAATTTTATCGATTTATCTGTATTATGTTTATGCACAAGATTTTCACCCGGGTGGTATGTGTAAATAGTAAGCACCCCCCGTCTCCAGGGCTCTTCCTTTAGAATAGGGCCCCACCCATTTTCTAAGAAAACGGCTAGGAACGAGTTTGGATCTACCAAAAGGGCTTTAGGGGCCCGGGCCTCCATCTTCTGGCCAAATCCCCTTGCAAAATTGTCAGAAATGTCCTGGAGACATGTATTTTGATTTTTTTTGCTTTGATTTCTTTTTCAGATCCTTCTAACGTCTGATGTTTTATTCGCGTTTCTTCGCCGTGAGTATGATCTTTATCATGGAATATACCCTCCCATCATGCAAGGCAAGCCTGCCAAGATCATCCTACGGTAACCATGGTAACCTTAAGCGAGAGAGGCAAAAATCTGTATGAATTGTTGCAGGAAGCTTGAAGTCTAACTTCTGGGACCTTGTGTAAGAGTCAAACTCTTGTATCGGGATTGTAAAGCGAACAAAAATGAACCGAACCGTACTCTAGCAATGAGCTACGTATAATGCCTGACTTTCTTGCTACAAAGGAAACATGCATTTTTGCAGGGTCTTTGTTACGCCACTTGCTAAACGAACATAACTTTTTACCGCATGATGTCTGATGAGCATCTGTAAATTATTAAGCATCGATAAAGCACGCGATATTGCGAAGGTGATCTGTCGGGGAAGCTGTTTGAATACCAATAGTTTGATGTCCTTTCAGTTAACAGTACCCGTAAAGGGCATGCCGTGTACGTTTATCTACTCGAAAAGAAGTTCAATGCAGAAAATCCGAGCCATGTCCAGCCCTGGCTATGAAATCCAGAGTTTCTTCACTTCTTACTTAGTTCCACACTTCTCGGAGGTGTGGAAGTGTGGAATAGTCCGACAAAGAAAGGATAATGTCACACTTTTCCCCAGTCATGAACCCTTTGTCATTCTTTACTTAGTTCCACACTTCCAGAGGTGTGGAAGTGTGGAATAGTCCGACAAAGTAAGGATATCGTCGCACTTTCCCCCCAGTCATGAACCCTTTGTCATTCTTTACTTAGTTCCACACTTCTCAGAGGTGTGGAAGTGTGGAATAGTCCGACAAAGTAAGGATATTGTCGCACTTTTCCCCCAGTCATGAACCCTTTGTCATTCTTTACTTAGTTCTACACTTCCCAGAGGTGTGGAAGTGTGGAATAGTATGACAAACTAAGGATATTGCCGCACTTTTGCCCCAGTCATGAACCCCTTGTCATTCTTTACCTTGTTCCACACTTCTCAGAGGTGTGGAACTGTGAATAGTCTGACAAAGTAAGGATATTGTCGCACTTTTCCCCCTGTTAAGAACCCCTTGTCATTCTTTACTTGGTTCCACACTTCTCGGATGTGTGGAAGGGTAGAATAGTCTAGAATAGAATAGTTGAGTTTAATGTCGCACTTTCCCTGAGTCACGAGAAGCTCAGTGCGCTTTATGAGCACTTGGTTTTATTTCTGTATGGTTTTTTACATTTTTCCTTAAGAACTATTTTTATTTTGAATAGCAGATATAACCATTGTTTCAATGCCCGCTGTTGAAAGAAACTTAAAGTTAAGAAATCCGATCTCCAACCAAGCCTTCTTCATTATCAGTACGGGTTCAAATTTGATAATTGTTAGATAACGCCATATATCCACTGTTTCGCAGTTTTTCCTCTTCTCTAAGGTTATGTAAATGCTGGACATAAATTATGAAAAAGAAGCAACACCACGCTCGGAGGCGAGCGGCTCGAGGCCAAGAAACCTCGAGAAAGAATTCACCTAAAGGTGACTCTCTACAGACGGAGAGGAGGGTGGACCATGCAAATATTTTAGTATTGTCACGTGCCGCAGAGATAACATAAATATTGCCGACCCTATAACACGCACTTAATCAGTGATCCCCCTTTTCCACAGAGAGATCTGCAGGTAGCTACTCTAGGCCGATAAGTCACAATTATTACTTTATACAGAATGCTGTATATTTTTAGACCAATTTAGGTCATGAACCTGATGAAGGAATAGAACAATAACAATTGATTTGAGCATTTATAAACTTTATCAAGTTCATCTTAAAGCGAGGAAGATAGAACGCACATACTCTGCATTCTTTACTGCCTATTTTTAGCGTTGTTACGATCTTAAGAGACCTGACCGTTGTACCCAATTGTAAGCTCCCGGGGTTAAGATTCTTTGTGTATTGTATTTGCGTTATAATGTGGCATTCACATTTAAATGATATGAAAATTCCTAAAACAAAACGTTTTATACCCAAAGGGTTTGAATTGGGTACGAGATTGAGTCAGCCGAATAGATCTATAGGAAGGAGAAAAACCCAGAATAAGACGTCTCATATATGGCACATTAAGATGAAGAATTTCAAACATAAAAATCCATAGATGAGATGACGTTGTTGAGGTTTCCAGCTGTTTCCGTTGAAAAATAAATAAATAAATAAACGAAGATAAAGGACTGACGGGGACTTCGTGACAGGGAAAACGTAGGCTTGTTTTATGGTCGGGTATTCAAACAGATGGCAGTGAAACAAGGCTAATATCTTCTAGTCATAGAATTGTTGTCTAAACTTAAAATAGCATTAAAAAAGATGTAAAACGAGTTGCAGGAATAAAACCAACAAATACTCCCACTGCGCTTTATTCTCATTTCATACATAGGAGTGTAACTAAGGAAAGAATGTCGAGGGATTCGTGACTGGGGGGAAAGTGAGACAATATCCTGACTCTGTCAGACTATTTCATACTTCCACACCTCTGAGAAGTGTAGAACTAAGTAAAGAATGACAAGGGGTTCTTAACAGGGGGAAAAGTGCGACAATATCCTCACTTTGTCAGACTTTTCCACACTTCCAGACCTTTGAGAAGTGTGGAACTAAGTAAAGAATGACAAAGGGTTCATGACTGGGGAAAAGTGTGACATTATCCTTACTTTGTCAGACTTTTCCACACTTCCACACCTCTGAGAAGTGTGGAACTAATTAAAGAATTACTAGGGGTTAGTGCCTGTGGGAAATGTTCGACAATATCCTTACTTTGTCAGACTTTTCCACACTTCCACACCTCTGAGAAGTGTGGAACTAAGGATGAAAAAGGAAAGTAGGGATCTTGTGGCCAGCGCTGGACATTTGTGGAAAATCCATAAATTGTCACTTCTCGTTTCACCTCAAATAGTTGCGAGACCGGGAAGAAGAAAAGGGACACTGATAAAGCGACTTTCGTATGACCTTGAAATGAAAACGTGCGAATAAACAGAAACCACAAACGAGCGGAAATATCGAATGGGTACAAACGCAAACGGCTTTTGGTTGGTTAAGCGAACGCTGGGCTGGAAAAACTTCATGCCCGAGAACTTTCTAGAAATCAATCCGATGGCGATACTTCGCTTTGACATATTAGGGTTTTCTTTGGCGGGAAAACGAAGAGTTCATGGTTTGATCTTTTCATCAATTGGCTGATAAAACAAATAACGAACACTTACCAAAACCATTTTTCAAGGTCATACGAAAATCGCTCTATGTTACACAGTACAAATTAGAAACAATTAAACTTAACTGCCTTAAATAGCCAAACGTTTTGTTTAAACTAGGTTTAACCATCCGAGTAAATAAAATAATATGTTGAAATGAATGTGATGGTCACAATGTGAATGTAATTTAATAGCTAATATCCACCACTTTTCTTGTTTATGCAACATGAACCTAATGGCCAATCATCTCATAACCTGCTGTGTGGATCTCAAACCACAGATTATATTTTTCTGGTTCTCACGCATATTCCATTCTTCTTTACTCTGTATTTGAATCAAAAAGAATTTCAAAAGTTTGATGACAACCAAAATACTTTTGTTCATAATGATCGTCCTTGTATTCTGTTGGGTACAAGATATAACTGGACTATCCATCAAATTCAGTCGGAATTTCGTCCTTTTTTCTTTTGTGACCAAACTATTTCTAAAAACGAGGTTTACAACCGAACATCTGAAGATAAATTCATCCAGTGTTACTTCTTCAAAATACCCTGACCTTTTCATATTCTCTTTCTTATTTTTTCCGAAGTTTTTTGTTAACTTCCAGTATTATAAGCGTACCAAAATAACAGTCACGACGTAAGGAATCGTCGGAGTGCTGAGGTTAATGAAAGTTGAATTTTTCTCTCTCTAAGTCCCCTTGTTTGAATGAGTACAGCATTCCTTGGATATAACCATTCACATATCCTTTCATATAAGCCTCCTTGTTCTGTGAGTCTGCTATTGTTTTAAGCACATGTTCCAGTACACCCTTTATGTATCCTAGTTCATATCCAATCGCGTATCCTTGTGATGATCTTTCACTGAGATCTTTCATAGTTCTTTCAACTTGCTTTAGTGCCATCTTTACAATCTCTTCGTCACTTGCGTCCATTTTCGCAGTGCTGTCAAAATTAAACACGAGTTCCTCAGGCTCCATTTCCCCCAAGCTTTTGATTCTAAATGGGTCCTTACAAATCAAAACGATCGTTACATCATGATCTCTAACGTTCGAGAGAAATTCGTTGTTGTTTATGATGATGACCGAATCCCTCAGTTAATTATTGTTTTGTTTTTGGACGGTAAATGATAGGCGGTTTCCATTTTTTGTCGGTTAAAAAACATGAATAATTTACTTTATACTCCTAATGATACTGTTATGTGCTTTTTTTTCATTGTCCGGAGGTTTTTTTTCCTTTAAATGCGGTTTCAGTCATTAATAAGTGATAAGTGGAATTTATTTATACCGTGAAGCGAACTAACAATATACAGGAGCATTCTTCATTTGCTTTTTAATCGTAACTGCTGTCAGTTACACACGGGATTATGTTTTTGATGAGATATTCGTAATAAACTGAGCTGATGGTGGTCATTTGAAACTTCAGTGATATAGCTGCGTTCAGAATTATCGCTGTGGAGTTTCCGTGATTGTTTGGGTGACTAGCTTTACATATTATATACCAATGCAATCGCAATCAACTATGCTGGCTAACATTGAACAGCATTAATCCAACCTGTCTGAAGCGTTTGAGCATCAAATAGCGTATTGTTAGGCCAAGTCTAAATTTTTGAAACTTACATGCCTTTTCAGTTTATGGTTTTGATAGTTGAACCTGACCTAAGTATTGAGTGTTCATTTTAATAAGAAGTATCCAAGAATGACGCATTCTATGACACACGCGTATGCCATGACTGATTGATCTTCAATTTACCACAGGAGCGTAAGACTTGGCACATGTACGCGACATTTTCCGAAGCCGAAGCCTTTATGTCGTTCGAACACTTTTGACTAGTCCTCAAACACGCCCCCCCAGCTAAATCTGAAGCCATATCCTGATTACTGATCATATGTCAGTTATTTTTGGGGGGGTTATTTTAACTCCAAAAAGGAGTTTAAAGAACTTTTTTTCAGGAGTAAAAATCACCCCAAATTAGGAGTTAATATTGAGGAGTTAAAATAACCCCAAAAAAGGGGTTCTCCTGCACCTAAAATTTTTACTCCATTTTTGGAGTTATAATAACTCCCTAAAAATTACTGAAAATGCTGGAGTAAAATCTCCTTTTTTAATGGCTCTCAAGCACACAACAACTCGAAGCAAACCGTATCGATTGAGTCAATCGCTAAGACGCGGAATCGAAACAAAACTCTTGAGACCTGATGACTAGCCTCGCTTTCATGCACCGCAAAATTGGAAGAAATCATGAAGCCGTCAATTTTCAAGTCACAATACAATAATACAGTAATAATGCATTAATACATAGTCTTGGTAGGTTGTATCATCCTGAATGTACAGCATGGCTATCATATTTTAAAAAAATGTTTCTTACAAGTCTTATTTTATCCTACATTGAGAAAGAGGAAACTTCAAGCTTGTCCGTATGCGTTTTACATTGTACAGTATAAAGTTCAATTCTACAATTCTACAACTCATTCTAGCTAATCTTTAGATGGTCTTGTACCGCAGTTTGCCCTGTAGACATGATCCTTGTTCTATAACTTGGCTTGTGTCTTAATTTCATCAAGAAATGAACATAGCCTCATTTTTTTCTTGTTAAGAAGTACACAAGTTACTCAGTAGAGATTTTACTCTCTTAGCGGTCTTTAAAAAATTTACTAGAGGACGGGAATTTTTTTTGTATTGAAGGGCAAATTGATGAACACCTACGGTAAAGTTGTGGGCTACACCTTGCAACTGAGGTATGAAACAAAAAAGCGCACATTTCACAGTGTCATAAATGAATTGACGCGTCCCTTACAACGTTTCGGGCTTACCTACTTCGAGCCACATGGAAAGTAGTCAAAAAAGTGTTGTATGCACTCTCTTCGGAAACGTTTATTTGATAGTCCGTAAACAATGGGATTTATGAATGCAGAATGTCAAGGATATCTGCCAATTTAAAGACCGTTTGTGTGATCTCTGATTCCTTTTGACCTCCAAAATCAAGCGAAAGCCAGGCGATTTGTCCAGGCAGCAAACAAATCACGAACACGATCACAATCATGGCTAGTGTTTTGATAACTTGGATGTTTTCTTTTTTCTCTTAAGTGCGGGTAAGGAGCTTTGAGGAACGGTCGATCGCCTGAGATCTATACCAATCCTACCGTACGCAACACCAATGATAAACAAAGGTATCACAAATTGTAGAATGAAGAGAGCAATGGTGTACTCTTTTCGGTAATTTATGGACGGCCAGTTCTCGTAGCAGATCCCGTTGTTAGCTTCAGAGACGACTGATAAGGGAAGGACTATTATCAAGGAAGAAAACCAGATGGCAGCGATCCAAATATATACATTTTGCATCCTCATCTTAGGTCTATAGGGGTTAGTAATCAACCTACAGCAATGCACCGCCATGGAAAAAATGGTAAAGATGCTCACGAAATAGAAGATTGTCAGCAGAGGTGTTAAAAGTCGACAATAATACGAGTTTTGGTAAATTGTACTGATGTAAGAGTAGATGTTTATTGGTGTAGCTATCATAATGAAGCTTAAATCGGAAATAGCAAGATTCAGAATAAAAAGTCTGGGAATCGAACGTTTCTGTTTCTTCCTTGACATCACTGTTATAACCAAACTGTTACCTCCAAAACCTAAGATAAGAAAAGCAATGTAAAAGCCAAGTTTAACATTTCCTTCGTCTGTACTTGGTGGGTCACGATCGGAATCTGTGTTGTTTGACATTGTCTTGTTGAAATGTGAGGGCTGGAAAGGCATTCTTTTACCTCTTGTCTTGTCACTTTTTTACATGAATCTCAGGCCCGTAGGAGTAGGGGGGTCAAGTAGGCCCGTTCACCCCCCCCCCCCTTCCCCCACCTTTTGGGCGAAAATTGAAAAAAAAACAAAGACTACCACTTTACCGTCGAAAATACTGAGTTAATAACACAAGGCAATTCCGCTTTCGATTTTAAAAAATATGTTGTTAGGGCTAATTTTTTTTCGTGCCCTCTCACTTTCAAATTCGTTCCTACGGGCCTGAATTTAGTCTTGAACTGTTAGCAATTTCTTTGCTTCCTTATGGTTCATGTTTCTTCCATTGTCGGTTAAAAGTTTCAATCGTAAAAGTGAAACAGGAAAATTTAGACATGTATTTATGGTCTATGGCGCAAAATCACCAGTTACTTCATAAAATATCACCAATCGCTTCTTTAGCTTTAATTGAAGTAAATTACCTCAATTTAAAACACAATAATTATCTCGAGGAAATGTTTTTTATGCAACTGTCCGCTAACAAATTTGGAATATTTGATAAACACGAGGCCGTCAGTAGTTGCACGATGTGCCTAAAATATAGACAACAAAATACAATTTGAATAGAGACATCAATCTACATCATTATAGAGTTTTTAATCATGAACAAGCAGTTTATTTTTCTTCGCTGGCTTTTTAAGCCTCTGTTTAGTGATAGGGACAATCATTTCATATGATAGGTTTCTTTGTATAGAAGAATAAAAAATAATTATGTGCTGTTTTGGGGTCTTGTTTTCGCGAATTTAACAGGTAAACATGACAAAAGGGCATTAAATTTCGCGATTTAAGCGTTCACCTCTTCATTTTCCTTTTTTAAAAAGTCTGAACCTTTAAAAAGAAATAGATAAACTGGAACAAGCAATGTGTGAAAATCTTCTCAAACTACCGTCATTTCACAACGGAAGATAAACAATGGAGCTTACCAGCAAAACCAGAAAGCAATTTGTGTTTGTCGGTACATATCGTTGCTATTACATGTCAATTGTTTGTCGAATTTTTTTATATGGGTATTAACTTTTGCGCGCGTTTAATTTCGCGACTTTTTAACAATCGCGAAAACCGCGAGATTAAAGACCTGCGAAATTAAAGCAGCAATAAAGTGGCAGGTGTTTAATAACTATGTGCTGTTTTTGTCGTTGGTCACCTACAATTACCTACGAAATCGTTTCAATAACAATAAACATATTAATTATTTTTAGTCATTTTATGAAAAATGAAAATGCATGTAGTTGCATAGGCTGTTCACAGTTCCCTATTTTTCCACAGTTAAACATTCGAAGTTTGACAGCTGTTGAAGGCGCGCTGAAGGTTTAATGACATGTTTTTTATCGGCGCGTTCCGCTCATAATTTTGGAAAGAATTTCATTTACAAAGAGATTGCAGTATTAGAGTCAAACTTTCACTTTGAGATTAAAAATTGAGATTTTCTTACGGCTGGTAGCCTCATTTAAAGTAACGAATATTGAATACTGACACACCGTGAAAGCAAAGAGAAAAGTTATCACGGGCGAAATGAGAAACCTAAATAAGCGGCTGGCTTCAGTTGTTCATGCAAATGTTCAAGATATTTTTTCTCTTCTTCCAGGAATATTTCATAGCTCATTCCCTCTTGTTTTCAGTACTAGCGTCGGGATCGAGCACTTTGCGTTATGGCGGCCATCCTGGTTTCATATGTACCAACTCTAACCGGGGGTGAATGTCAAATCTATTTTGAGGGCGGGGAACGATTTTGGGGGAGGCTGTAAAGTTGGATGAATTGTCATGTTTCAGTTGTAAAAGTATGTGTTGTAATAACTATATCAACTATGGCTGTCTTTGTCGTTTGGTCACTACAAGTACGGACACGTTTCAATAATAATAAATGTTCTTCAGCCAGGGTAACCCACCTCATCAGCATAAAATGCTAATATCAATAAGGTGCCTGGTCAGGGGCACCCAGCGATTTTTTTCTGTGAAAAGGAGCAAATATTGCCTTGAAATTTCTAAAGTTTGAGAAAAGCTAAAAATTTCTGGATAACCGTTCCATAAGTCTAAAATATTCGGAGGTTTTGTGATAGCTAAACCACGATTTTCAGAGGTTGTGTTATTCACATTTTAATACCAAAGTATTGCGATTATTGTTTAAAAAAGGTCTTCTAAAACTTTCGGTATAAAGACAAAACGTCCCCTATAATTTCCTAATGAAAGCAAGGCTACTTCATATCCTCGAACTTTCGACCAGACCCATAAGGGTAGCTGACACTTTCGGATCAGACGAAAAAGCCACCTAAAACTTTCGTGACAACCAAAGTTCCCCTAAGACATCGGAAGAGATAAAAGGTTTTTAGGGCAACTCCAAATTAACCAAACAGGCTTCTAAAGCATAGAGAAAACCATCTGAGACACTTCTGACGAATTTGGAAACATTCGGTCGTTGGGTGCCCCTGCCTGGTAAAATTAGAACAACAAGCCTGAAATATAGCAACTAACTTTGGAGAGCAGTAAGTTCTACCCACTTCCCTCGTGTTTTGGGTTGTTCTAAAAATCTTAAAGTGATCTTTAATAAAAACAATAAACATCTTAATAAAATGTAGTCATTTTATGATCACCATGTTTTGTGATTAAGTATACAGTGGTATAGACAGTATACGTTGCCTCTAATACAGTTTCACCTCTGAATCAATATCACACTGATGTACATCAATAAATTTCATATTTAAAAAAACAAAACAATTTAATTTTAACATCAAAGTGAAAAGTCGAACCCCGCTTTACGGACACCTCGTCTACGGACAGTTTGCTTTGTCCCTGGGGAAAGAACCCCTTAATACGGACACCCGTTATGATGCGGACAAAGGACACTTTTTCTGTCCCAATCAACAGATTCTCATAGAAAGTCAACCTCGCTAATGCGAACACTTATAAACTGTTCTGTAATAGGCCTTTCCTTTCTGAAGGTCAAAAAAACCTTCAGTTGACAGGATGTCGATAATCCTAGCCCTACCATACACCACTACGCGGATGATTTGAATTGTAGACGTCAATTTCAGACTTTTGGCATCAAACGAGTTATGCAGAGAACGCACAGTAATGTATAGACGAGCGTGTTTTTAAGTGTTTCCGTGAATTTAATCCGCAAATTACGGCTTTTTGAAGGTTAGAGATGTCTAACGTGACGATGCTTATTAAAAGGAGTCCTTTTTATTTCCTTAGAATTTTGTTTTAAGTAACAGTGAGTAAAGGTGTTTGTTCACTTTAACAACATGACCCACTTAATACGGACACTGTCGATGGCCTCTTAATCCCGGAGTAGTCAATCGATAAAAATCTGTAAATCTGATTTGATTGATATCGATTGTGAGAAATCGATGATACGCTCGTTTCGTTTATCGATTTATCTTGATTTTACCGATTTCATCGATTTATATCGGAATATACATCTGTTCATCTGTTCATCCAAATATGAAAACTGATTACATGCAAGCAGTAAATTTGTTGACAGTTGAGTTGCAATTGAGAGTCGAAGGATCAAACAATTATCACTTTTAAAAAAAATCCTAAAAATCTTATCTTTTCTTGAAAACCAGATTTAAAATCTTCCTATGATGGCTGATATTGGCCCGGAGGTTTGTAGGCGCTCAGTTTTTCACAGTTTAGATCTTCCGCCTGTAGTTCCGGGTATAGTTACATCCCGGAGTACCCAATAGGGTGAAAATCTGTCTAGGAAAACCGTTTTTGTTATTATGTACAAAATAAAGGGTTTTAGAGAGAAACTTGTGTGTATAGTTTCCACATTTCTCATTTTCATGTTTGTTGATCAGTTGGATGTCTTTTCTCAGCTGTACTACTTAACTTATACCAGTAAACTACAATGACGGACTTCCGTTATAAATCGTTAAAATCATGAATATTCGATAATATCGATTTGACACAGCGATTTACTTTTTCGATTTTCACCGATTTCCGTCATCAATCGATAAAAATCACATGATTGCTATCGATTTTTATCGATACCGATTTTTATCAATTGACCACTCCGGGTCCTCAGGGTCTGTATTAACGGAGTTTGACTGTACTAACATATTTTGAATCGAAATTTATGTGCATAATTATCATTATTTTCGAAACAAAAATTTTACATTGTGCGATTCATATCAGTATCGCTTTCGTCTTCGACCTCCTCTAAAACATTGTCCATGGATGTTCCTTTACCATAACGTCCGGATAGAACGGGTAGTGAACCCCATTGGGGTGGTTTAAAAGTCATGGATTTGTTGAACTCATTCAAATCGTCCTCTTCGCTAATGTTCATTAATCCTTGATAAGCCCGAGTATACAGTTCCATAGAGCGAGCTATTAATTCCATTTCACCGACTACAAAATCCGATAAAATCTGCCTGACATCCCGCATTTTTTGGCTTTCGAATTCGTTCATTTGCTCACGCAAAACCCGCAGGGAACGATTCGCTTCGCCAGATGCTTTTTGGAACTCAGCTTGTGCTCGGGCGATCCGTGTTCGGTCCGTTGATTTCATTTGCGCTTTTTCAAGGCTTTCGAACGACTTTACTTCCCTCGAGGAAAGCGACGAACTTACTCTAACATCATTCCTTGCTTGTTTACACTTAGTATCGTATACACTGAACCCTTGAACGAGTTTCTCCTCAATACGGCTGACTTCTTTGTCTCTTTGATCCTGTATCGCGGACAGACACTCAGCTAAACCAATAAGCCCTTGTTTCAATGAAGGCGATTCTTCCTCAGCATATGCTGTTATTGTTTTCGCCAGCTCGTCACCTTTGTTTCGTAATTTTGCTGTCCCTACGGCGTACCGTTGAAGCATTGCAGCGAGCTTAGGAAAATGAGTTTCGGCAACTAATATTTTCTTGTCTATGACCTTTGTCTGGTGTTCAGTGGCTTTTACGGAAGCTTTCAAGTCCGGCAACGAACCTGTAAAATTTCTATCTTCACGGTTGAGACGAGCCATTGTTTTGAGAAAGTTATCAAGTCAGTTAAGATGTGTAGTTCTTCGAAAATTTCTTTTCAACGTCGCGTGCGTCTTGTTATATTCAAATTAGGATTATACACAGAAACAAAAAGCTTCGGAATATATTAGCATTTGAATAAAGTACCCGTTGCGTTACACCACCAAGCTGTCATATGTTTTGTTCATGTAGTGTCGCATTGTCGTTGGGATTTTACCAGGGAGGGGGCACTGTACTCTTTCTAAAAGAAGCTTGCTTTTCTGAGGATTTGTAAGAACTAAAGAGAAAAAAAGGATTTTCCATTTTTAAACTTTAAGCTCTCCTCGGACAATCAAGCCCCATAGGAAATCAATGGTAGTCTTCAAACTAGAGCCTAAATAAACTAACAAATATTTCAAGACAAGTACATTTTAAATTCTTCAAGTGAAAGAAAGCTTCACACACAACCTATCTTTTTTACTTCAGGTTTACTTAAGCTTATTTTCCGACGCAACATAATTAAGATTCATTGACATGCTTCGCTTTTCTCAAAGCTTAGCCAAGAACCGCAAGTTCGTTAAGTCGGTAGACTACGAGCAGTCTCTCTTTTTTCTTGGTCCGTCGATCAAAACGCCCGAGACACGCAAATGACCACGCGCGTGACTGAAGGTGCGAGACGGGAGAGGCACTCCCCTTACTAAATCTGAAGAAAAAGAGAGACTGCTCGCAGTCTACTAAGTCGGTTTTAAGGATGGTTTTTAAGTCACTTGAAACTTTCTTGAATCGTTTCAACTTTCCGACTTCTTACTTAGCCCTTCACACACGCATTTTTGGTTAAGTAAAACTTAGCAGCTCTTTTAAGAGCTTAAAAGTGTTACTTAACAGCCTAGTGTAACGACAACTAGACTGCAAAACAGTCCGTATTTTTGCGTATTCAAGTACGTGCGAACAGTCAAACAAAAGGTGTGAAACGAGGCTGAAAACAGAAAGCGAGACTGGGGAGAGACGCTAAAAATACGGTTTTTTCTCTCTCGCCTCACACGTGTGAGGCTCGCGCGGTTCGCGCGCGTAAGGCTCTTATGCCACGCTTTACCGATTTCTTTACTGATTTTGAGGAAAAAACCGACTGTTTTGCAGTCTAAACGACAACCAATCTTTCACTTTTTGATTGACCAGCGATCGGATGACAGAAAGGGCAGGTTTCACCTTCTAGTATCCTAGTTACATAGGGTCTTCCTAGTACAGTACGGCCATGATAGACAGGTGTCTGTTTTACAGAGGAGAAGACCCGGAGGGTACTTTAGGAATTTCTGGGTGGGGATGTGCCGCTGGGACCCTGGAACCCTTAATCTATACTAGAGCTAGTTCAGCTGAATTTTGCTACCCTATACTAGAGTAAACTCCCCAAATCCCCCTATCCTAGAGTAGCTGTTTTCCAGAAACTACTGAGATCACTACTAGCACAGTCTAGCCAGAACAAAACCTTATACCGCAATCCCTAGTTTGGATAAAATCTTCAACCAATTGATTAGTTTCCTGAAAATGATACCTTATTCTAGACCCAAACTCTCTGATATATATACCCTATCCTAGAGTAAACTGCTTGAAAACCATACCCTTCACAGCGGCACATACCTATATAGCCCATATATGGCAGTACCCCCCCCCCCCGAGGGGAGGGAGATTACGTGCGGTTTGATTTCTTTTCTTTTTCTTATGGTGAATAACTTTTCTCTAATTAGTATTAGCTATAGTGCATAGAATACAACAACCGACAACGAAAGGAAGGAATTTCGATGTGCTTTGTTGAGTAGAAGGTTAATGCAACAGTGGTATGCTATTTCGCTTTCCTTAACTAGACTATAATTGGGGGATACTATTGAAGTGTCCTAAAAAGAGACTGAGGCCTAGGCCAAACATGAGGCGAACCAAACTCTCATTTTGTTGGGTCAGACGTCGAACTAAGGTCGAACCAGGGGGCTCCTGGTCGAACCAATCAACTAAATCAGCGAAATCGAGACAGTAATAGCAGAGCTCTCGTGCGCGCGTAGCGGAGCACCATGGGTAAGAACATTGGCTATCTATGCATCCAAGAAATTTTGGTTTTGATCAGTTTACGGACGTACGTCGGTGGACGATTTTGTACTTCCCCCCTTCATGTAAGCCGGAGTGAAATGTTGCATTTCAATCAAAAGCGCGTCTCGGCGGTAAATCGTATGGCCATCCGGCCGTTTACACAGAAAAAAAAAAAGAGAAATGCTAGCGTCAGCAAGGTGAAAAAAAGCGGCAGCGAAAAAAAAGTTACCAGCAACACATACGATATCAGTCCTCCATAAAACGTGTAACTAGGATGTTTCTGGAAGTTTCACGTTGTAGTCGTGCAAAAGAACGGGAAAGAAATGTACAAAAAAAAGTGTGCTACACGTGCAAAGTTGTTGTTTTTTTTTTCTAATTAGTCTACGTTTTCGTTGCCGTCGCCGCTTAACATTACACGATTCTATCTTTTGTTTGAATAAACTACAAATATTAACGAGTGTTTTGCCTTTAGCCCTGGCTAAATCCATATATTAAATTTTCTCCTGAACTAGGCTAAATATACATTATCAAAAAAAAAATTTTAATGTATTAGATTGGTTCGTCTTAAAAAGTTCAACTTTTTGCCTAGACCATAGGCTGTTTAATAGGTGTCATTGAGTGAGGGTTCGTAGCGTCCGTGCAGGTTGTTTTAACTCGTTTTCTCTTTTGCCCTCGGTTCAGCTTTTGGGCGCCAGACGATTTGAAAACAGCCGCTTTCTACTCGTTCTCTCCGCTTCCTCTCTCTTTCGTGAGCCTCTACTATACCGCAGACTAGCTCAATTGTGGTTTACCAGTTTACTGTTTAAAAAAGGGCCAAGTTCAAACACATAAATCAAAATACAATACTGAACCTGAGATTATCAATGTGACATACTTGAGATATTCATCTTCTGAACAACAGGTTGAACTGCTTTGGGCAGATGAGCTTAAAGCGAACCAGTATAAACATCTACAATCACCTCGAACGAACGACGTGAAAGCTTTCGTTCGAATGGTCACTAAAGGACTTCCTTCACAAAGTCTTGAAAATAAACAAATTGAACAGTGCCAAAGGATTCAATTTTCTATCCGCCTTGTTTCAAGATAATAAACGTTACAGAAACTATAAAGAAGCGATAAACATCGTAATCTTATGTTTTCGTCTAGCTTTGGACATTTAAACTGAGATTTTTCCTCTCTTTGTTGCTGTGGATAACCACTTATTGTACTACTGTAATATTCACATATCAAAACAATATATTTCTGTTCATTTTATTATCATTTTTTGTTTTGAGTGTATTCAGTTCGCTTTTTTTTAATGAAAATGAAACATATCTAAAATTGCTTTGACTTTTAGAATTGTAAACCCACATCAATAATGCCTACTTCAATAATTATGAGTGTTAAGTGAACTTTAAGAGCATAAGAATTATGCTTGAATATATAAAGGTGTTCCTAGGAAATCAATGTTTTTGTTTGGTCTACTTAATAGATAGCCACGACCACCACCAAATATGTGAGCAGAACTAACAATCACGGATAAGCCATTAACACGAACACAAGGTCGGAGTTAAATAAATCACACGATTTGTTTTAATTAAGTCAAACTACACCGCTTACTCTTAAAAGCTTTCGTTTGTTTGACGTGTTGCCTTCATCCTTGCTTGTAGTACCTGCTACTCATAAAAACGCGCCTCATAAATTATTAAAAATCCAAGCGAAATTGAATCGATGCTGAATTAAGATCCTGACTTTTACGATACGAAATGTAGCCACACCTGAGGAAGTACTTCAATTTGTGACTGGCAAATCGATTCAGCTTGCTGCTGCTTTCAAATTAAGTAAACATTTCTGGTGCAAAATAGTTTAAAACTTAACTTTTGCAATCGTTGCAGCTGAAACTCCTGGCACTCCACGTCGATGTACCAGTGGGGAAGCTGTGTTTCACGACCAGACTTCTTACGAAACACAAATCTTTAAGATAATTTACAAGACCCTTTCAAGACAGTTCTTTCGTGCAACGAGATGGCTAATCGAGGTACTCGAAAATCTGTGGCATTTCGAGATGAAGGTCCTGAAGGTATCTGGTGCAAATATTGCAGCAAAGTGTATGATGATCCAAAACTGTTGCCTTGTTTACATACGTTTTGTAAACGATGTATTGGCTTAATTACCGAGGAAAATGGTGACTCTTTGTTCTGTCCTATATGCCGTTCGGAGGTTGCCCTACCGTCGAAAAATGTCGAAGATTTAAAATCGAATGTTATTGTTCTAAGAAAACTCGAAGAATTTGACAGGCAAAAGTTACGACAACGAGAAGAAGACTGTAGTGGTTGCGAAAATGGTCGCAATATAGCAGCTAATAGGTGCTTACAATGCCAAGAATTTCTCTGTGGAGATTGCACCCTGGCTCATCGCAGAGTGAAGTTTACTCGAGAACATGAAATCTTGTCTCTTGAAGAGTTTGTAGATCGAACGAATCCTAAGGACGATTCGTCATTTATGACTTGCGCTAATCACAACACTGAGGATATAGATATGTATTGTAAGACTTGTGATTTATTGACGTGTAAGGAGTGTAGAAGGACTGTCGATCACGAAGGACATGAAATTGTCTCTTTACAAAATGGAGTGGATTCCACTAAACCAACACTTTTGTCGTTACTGGATGCAACACAAAAAAATATTCCTACTCTTCAGAGGTCGGTGTACGAAATTATTAAGGTATACGGTCGGTGGCAAAACAAAATCGATGACATCTCGTGGCAAATTCGAAGAACGTCTCGTCGCCTTATTCAAGCTATAAAAGAGAGGGAGCATCAGTTGTTAAAAGAGCTAAACACCATTAAAGATAACCGATGTTCGGTTTTAGTGAAACAGAAGGAAGAAATTGAAAGAAACCTTGTTTGCACCATCGACGGGTGTGATTTTTCCGAAGAGATTCTCAAACAGGGAAGGGATGCGGACATACTGATGGTAAACAATTTGATTTGTCAAAGACTTTGCGAATTGCAAGAGATTAAGACAGATGGAGATTTGAGCAGTGTCAAAATAGGGTTTGATCCTGACGAGAGGCCTATTTTAGAAGCTATTAAAGACGCTTTTGGCTCGATAAGTGTGGGACACGAACCACCCGAACAAGCTAACGAGGACCAAATACAGTTAAAAGGATCATTGCCTAATGGTGGAAGCTCCGTCTCATTTGCGTCCGTCGAAGATGAAGAAGCTAGTGCCGGTTCTCTCTCCTCAGAATCGCAAGAGTCTAGGACTGGTACGAGATTGGCTGCGAGTGTGCCCTCTTTAAATGATCCAAATTCCTCCAAAAAGGCAAAGGGTCGCCGTTTTAGTTTTCCTGCCTTAACTATTGGCAAAAAGGCAAGTGAACCTGTTGGCAAACTAACACCAACGGAATTCGTGATTCCGACGACTGACAGCCGAGGTCGTCCGAGAGAAGTCGCCGTTCAGCTCGAGTCGCCCGACGGTAGTGTCATTTCTGCTCAGGTCCTGGACAACAAAAACGGAACCTATTCAATATTTTACTGTCCCCGGTCTCCTGGGGATCATAATCTGTTCGTAAGCTTGACTAGCAAACACATTAAGCACGGTAGACGTATTCTTAATTTCTACGGTTCATTTTCCGGGTTAAAAAGCGAGGAGTTAAGCCTAGTTTGTAAAACATTGTGTTTGATTAAATGGCACGTGACTCCTGGGATGGTCGAAGTGAAAGATGGAAAGAAAAGGCCTGGTGAAATTGGCTTCAAAGAAGTCGGTCAGTCAGAGGCTTAACAGAAGTCTTCCCAAGAGGGCAAGAGGGAGGGGTGTTAATCGAAATGGGGACAACGCACAAAAGCCTAAATTTGCAACCTGATGCACTTCTTAACATTCTCAGCGTGGTGTTGAGGAATACACGGCATACCCAGAGACCTTGTCCCTCAGTTTAAAGAGCAGCCTGCTTGATTATTCAGCCAGTTTTAATAAAGTTTAGGTCTCGGCACCCTCGTTAGTAGTTCTTGCCCCACCCTCCTCTCCGCAGCGATGGACTGGCATGGAGCATATTCTCTCCCGGTCCTCCGACTCGCATAGCTCCATATCTTATGCATTTTAGCCTGATTCTGAGAATCAGGCTAAAATGCATTTAGGCTCGTTTGGCTTTGTGTATAGGTTTTCCAGTTGACAATAAATTACTACACTAAGGCATGGCAGGAGTCCATGGACGTGGAAACTGACAATAGCCTGTCGGTTATACATGCTATCCATTAGAAGATGAATTAACAGTTTTCAAAGCTGAGTCTTTTGTTTGAGTCCCACTTTTGGGCCAGATGTCGAGGGTCGATTGTTTTATGTTTTCTGTTTTTTCATTTTTTTATTTTTTTGCACTTTTTAAGCGAGTGAGGAGCGCCAGACTGACAAAAGTTCAGTTTTTATTGTAATAACGGCACTCCAAAAGAAATATATCTAACATTTTGTCGGGGTGTTTAGGAAAAGTACACTGAAAATAAAATAATAAACTCGCTTCTGATAGAGAAAAGGCCTTTATCTCGTTCATCCTCAGCCCTAGCCTGTTTTTTCTTCCGTTTTCCTGGTGTACAATTTACGGTGTGACCGGGAAAACCAATTGAAAAACAATTGAAATATGTCAGGAATGTTTATTGTGTTATGTCTGGCAAATCACAGCAAAGATCAGGACATTTGAGCATCCCACAAAACCACAAACTAAGTAACGTTCTTGCTTGCGGTTCAGTTTTCTCACGCCTGATTGGCCTTTTTTCTTGCAAGACAATAACATTCCGAAAATATTTCTGATGTTCACGGTTTTCATTGTTTGATTGTAACTCGCTACCCACCATCTGACCGCCGCGCTCTACCGTCTGAACGCCTGGAACAGTCTACCACAACCCCGACACTGATTGAAACATTAGTGGGGCAGTCATTGCACTAGTGGGGTCATTACTTACGATATTACCAGTGTTTATTATTCCACTACTATGCCATTTTACCATATAGGTAAGGTCAAGAGAACGCGCAAAATACGAGGGCGTAATACACTGCAGTGTCCTGGTTTAACCGGCTTACAACCGGGCGAATACGGGCGGGTGCAAAAGGAGGAACTATGGCTGAACTGGTCGAACAGGAGGACGAACCTAATTTTAACTTGTTTGAGTCCTTTGGACTTTTTTAGCGACAAATAATTAACAGTGTGCCATATAATACGCGCGAACATTTTGCTCATTGTTAACGTCATTCTCACAGACGAAATCGGGATGTTTCTGAATACTCTTATCGAAAACTTAGAAGCCAATTGCAAAATAATAATTTTTTTGGTGGAATAATTAACAATTATTGGACGAGGTTGAGCAAAATATCGTGATTTGTCTGTGGTGAGCAGATCAATTATTCGGCTTCGGCAAATAATTGATCTGCGAGACACTGACAAATCACGATATTTTGCGATAAACGAGTTCAATAATTGCTTTATAATTCGATCACCGAGTTTGTTTTTTTAATGAATATCCTCGGGAAGCGAAGCGATCTGCCATTTTCACGCAAGAGCAATCGCAAGAAGGAGAAAAGCGCGGTTTGCTTTACGCATGTGCACAGTATTACTTGTAGCCAAACACAGTTGGACGGCATTGCGCATGAGCAGACCATTATTTGTAGCCAGTTATTTGTAGGTCACGTGATGGGTTCTTGGCCAATGAAAAGAAAGAAAAATTTGCGTCGAATGATAATAAACCTTGCTCGTATTTGTCCTCGCCCCTGCGCGGCTAGGGAAAAATACTACGCAACTCGCAAAATATTCGCACGTATTATATGCTAAACCGTCGAATAAGATGTATTTATTGTGCTTTATCGGGACTCGTTTCCTGATTAACTAGTATTGTGAAAACGAGTATACTCAAGAGCCATGGTATACTATGAACACCAAAAATAAATCCCTTGAAAATCCCCAAACGTTTCAAATTTAAAAAAATGAACCCTCGACATATAAAATGGACAAAGGACGGACATTGAGATGGATAACAAAGGAAGCAAATCTCGTTGAAAAAAAAAAAGTACATAACAATTTATTTTTGTCGCGGCGGTGAGAAAATGAAAAATGCTAATGGCCACCGAGGTGAAAATGAGCGGCAGTGACAAAATAGCGAACAGGAATACATACGTAATTTCCTCCATAAAACGTGTAACTAGGAAATTTCAAGAAATTTCACCTTGTAGTTGCAAAACAAAGGCAAAGCAATGTACAAAAAAATGTGCTGCACATGCAAAGTTGTGGTTGTTATTTTTTTTTTGCTAATATTAAGCTACAGTAAAACGGGCAACAATTGTTTTGCAACATTGCTGCAATACGAGTTGAATAGGGATGTTGTTCCTTTTTACCACCGACGTTCGAACTTGTCTTGCAACAAAAGGGTTTCTTTAGACATATTGATTTTTTTGCCGTTCTCTCTGCGGTCGCCGTTTAGCATTAGGCTATTTTATTTTTTGTTTGAATAAACTATAAGTATGTTAACGAGAGCTTCGCTTTTACCCTTGGCTAAATCTATAGTTACTATATTAATAGGAACAGGTCCTGATTATGATCTCTTGTTCAAAGTAAGTCCATTCTATTTCGAAGCGTTTTCAAAAGGGACAATTTATTTGAAGACGTTTTTCTTTACCCACCGATGTTCTCTCATAAAGTTTAAATACAAACGACTCCCTTTTCCTTTAGAGTTTAGGCCGCCTGGGATAAGTCTTCAACTGTTTTAATATTCAGATTTGGCATTAAGAGACAAAACAATTGCAACAATAGCGGCAGCAGCTGAAACAGTCAAAACCGTAGTTGATAAATCTAAAAATTCAATTATCATGAAATTATAATGAAAATAGAAGTAAATATGAAGAACATCCAGTGCTATGGTCAAACAGCGCTCTTAGATTAAAAACGGCAAAGGAAACAACGAACCATGCTTATTTTAAATAACCTTCCCTTTAAGCCGCAATATCATTCACCTGCCGACTCACCAGACGCGCGTCATCAACCTTTTGGTCACCCGCCCCCGGAAATGAACTCTTCTTTTAGGTTTACAATGCAAAATAGGCATTTTAAGACGAATTTAACAATCCACTAATGTACCTTATTTATTTCTTGTGTTGGGATAATCAGCTTTAAACAATAGCCGACTGCCAAGTTGATAGTTTGCATAATATAAATACAAGTAAAATATCTTCCCAGTCTAAAACGAAACCTTCGACATCGGACACCGCCTTACTCGTGTACGCTTTTAATGGTTTAAACGTACTAAAGAAATAAAAAGATCCAAGGAGGCTAAATTTGACGCGAAATGGTATTATTTCACAAACTTATCTAATAAATCGATGGTGTATTTTAGATTTAAACAATGACATTGAGTGAGTCCGTAGCCGGTACGGTCTTCGAGATCACTTTCCTGTCCTGTATACTTACATCTGCTTTGATTGGTAATGTGAGTTTATTTGTTATCGTTTACAAGAAGAGAAATATTTTGACCGTCACCAACTTGTTTATTCTTAACTTGGCTGCGGCTGACATCTTGGTATCTGTTCTCAGTATGCCAACTACATTGATCACCATTATCAAACAGCGTTGGGTTTTTGGACTCCCAGCTTGTGTGGTGTCCGGCTATATCACAATGTTATCGTTCATTGCGTCCGTCATGTCTCTCGCCATGATCGCCATCAACCGGTATTTTCACATCGTAAAGTGGAATACGTACAACAACACTTTCTCAAGAAAGAAAGCATCAGTTTACGTAGCAGCCGTTTGGGTTGTGTCCATATCCCTGGCTTGTCCTCCGCTCTTCGGCTGGGCAGAATATCGCTTTATCCCTGAAAAATCCTATTGCTTCGTTTACTGGCCGGCGAACGTCTATTTTGTGTATTTCATGATCACTGTTTGCTTTTTCGGTCCTCTTTTAGTTATAGCCTTTTCTTATTTCAAGATTTTAATGTTTACTAGGAATGCGAGAAGAAAGATCGCAGTTTCAAGGAATAACTTGACACCTCCTCTATTTCAGCGCCGGTCTGCTGCCTCTGATGTAGAACCCAAAAGGAATGGCGAAGAAAACTTTGATTTAGATCGCAGCAAGGCCGAAGTGGAAATCCCGAATAAACTGTTTGAAAGTAGAGGAACGGAGGAAACTAGAATCACAAACACGTTTCTTTTGATGGTTGCCCTTTTTATTTTTTGTTGGGCGCCCTTCGCTGTAACCATGTTTTTCGATGTCCACTACTCAAGGCCGTTGCCACGGACAGTACACATGATATCGTTGTTGTTTGGCTATGGAAATAGTGCCTGTAATCCAATATTGTATGGAGTACGCAACTCTGTTTTCAAAAGGGAATTGATAAAACTATATTCAAAATGTTGGCCGCAGGCTGTAGAGAACTGAGAAATGGGACCATATGGAAAGCGATGATTATGCCAGCAACAGTTAGACGCACCTATTGGACAGACTGTAATGAAGCTACCGTGAAGCTGGAAGTAGCTTGTACCAAAAAAATGACGACGAAAGCGAAGTCCAACCGTGAAACTCGGAGACATTTAGTTTCCCTTAGAAAAAACGAACTTGAACTACAGTCGACTTCCGATAACTTGAACCTTCAAGGGAAATGGAAAGAAGTTCGAGTTATCGGGAGTTCGAAGCAAATAGCCTTGAACTAAGGAAAAAAAAAACAGTTTTCATCCTACAGTGAACATTTTAGGAAGATCTGTCAAGTGAAAACGGAACAATACTTCCAGATTTTTAAATCACAACTTAATGCAACATGAATCACAACCTAAATAGAGCCGCATCACGCGGAAGAAGTGAAGATGTCTCACGTTAGATTTGTAACAAACAACATCAGCCTCCACTAACAAAATAAGCCTACAACGCGTCTATGGAACATTCAAAATTCAATGTTTGTCCCCGACTTTAGCGCTCAAAACATGGTTCGAGATATCGAGGGAAAAATTATATAGGAATGATCTGAGGGGAGACAAAAATTATTTCGAGTTAGCGGGAGGTTCGAGTTATCGATGGTAAAATTACAATAAAATTTTGAAATTTTAGGGCAAATTTTGGTTTGAGTTATCGGGAGTCGCTTTAGTACAGCCACTCGAATTTATATGGACGAAAATTCATTTTCATTAACGAAAAATATCAATAGAGCAAATTGCTTATTGCTTAGTACGGGTTACTGTAACTGGTTGCATGAAAATGGTCACAATTCGTATGACAGAGACCAGCTATATAATTCTGAACGTGCTTATTCTTTAAAGGCATTTGTCTCAAATGAACACAAACAAAGAACATAATAATGCAAACCATGAATGCTCAAAGGTTTTGATTAATTATCAACGATTTTAATTACAATTTAATGCACCTTTTCAATTTGTTTGAACAGTTTATTGTTTTAATTAAATAGTTCAATGGAAGAGCACTGAAGTCACTGAGGTGAACCAAGAGCTAACTATTACGAATAATAATCTACTGTTCCTTTTCAGCTGCCACAATAATGACCTGCTGGTTCTAAAACAATGGAAAGGTACATGCATTAAATCAAAAAATGCCCTCTCTCCTCTGCCTTCGACTACGCGCTCGGTCATTATTCTTAAGAACATCAGGTTGGGTTCTTGTTAGCAGTACACAATTTTCCATTGGGCTTATTTATAGTGAAATGAAAGAGTTTAAAGCATCTTCAACTGAATCATATGGTACATATACGTTTCCGCTGCATTTATTCTTTTACTTCATAACGTTAATAAAGGTCTTTGTTAAGTATTTTAAATGAACAGGAAAACCTACATTCCGTTCTCGCCTCGATAGGCGATTCGCTTGTTTCATTTGCCTCGTTGGACAAAAATAACAATTCATTTTGAATTCGTTTTTCTCGTTGCTTCATTCACCTCGTTGTTAGGTAAGTCAACCGTCAATTGTTCAGAAAAAGCCGTGAACTAAATTGGAAAGGTGATCGTCCTAGAACGACTCTGCAGTTGATTGTCAGAGGCTGCTTTGGAATCAGATTGGAACTAGGATTGGAACAACTTGAATTGTCTCCTCGTGACAAGTTTTATCGATTGTGTTCTTGATCCACAGCGATCCACAATTGATAACTGGATGGCACTCATGAAACGACAAGAGATGAGATATATACATGTATTTGTAGTCTGGGATATAAGACCGACCTAGATTTATTTATTCATTCATTTACTCGTATATTTTTTGCCAACGCAATTGACTTTCGTCCTTAACGTCTCTGCCCAAAGAGAAGCAGAGTCTGAGTACCAGGCGTTACTGGGGAAAAGGACAAGAGAGAAACGAAAAAGGGGAGACTCCAATCACCTCTTCCCTCACCTTCAAGATCCGCCAAGAAAAGCTTGATACTTAGGCTAAGAAAAGCCTAGCCTGTGACAAGAGGCCATAAGCATCAACAAGATTGTGAAAATGCACTTGACAAAATCCCAGAAATGTTTGTAAATTGTAAACAAAGTTCCTACTAAGTGACGTTTTTTATTTACAAAAAGTTACTTTTTTTTCATCTTTATCCAACTGATTTGGTACATACTTAATCAACTTTCCCCCTCAGGGTCGGTGAATTGTGGTGAATATACCGAGACGCGAAGTGTCCACCACTATTTACCGACCCTGAGGGGGATAGTTGTATAATTTCCAACAGGGGCGAGTGGAATAATTGTTTTGTTAAAAACGCCCAGTGATATCGAGAATTCTTCCTAACATTATAAGTAAAAACAACCAATTTTCGGCTGTTTTTGAGCAGACGCGTACAGTTACCATATTTAGAGAGCATGGTATAATGACTTTTGTTATATTCCTTGACTTTCACTTAACTGTACAGGGACTGCCGTTGGTTGATTATTGGCCACGTGGCCTTGACTAAAATCAAATGTATCCCGATCGTGATATATTTAGCAATGTACCACGACCGGGATACATTACAGCACGTGATCAAAGCGTGGTGGAAAGTGGTGTGACCTAAGGCGGGAAAAACACTGCCAGTTTTCTTTTTCGTGAACGAACACAACAACACAAGACAAACAGCAGCTAGTAAAGGAAAAAGATGCAGATAATATAAGGGAAATACTTTGTAAATCATTCATTCAGTGGTTTTAAGAATTAAATTTGTGTTGTTATAAGTACCGAGTCGATTGTTTTGGTTCGCTTCGGTTATTCTTTTGTTGGTGTTGAAGTGAAAGTCTAGAAATATAAATACAGGTGTATAACAAAACACTTAATGTCAGGTCCCTCAGGAAACCGGTTTGTTTTGTTTTCCTTCGAGTCCTGATGTTTCCCGAGACGAAGTCGAGAGAAACATCAGAACTCTCGGGAAAACAAAACAAATTGTTTCCCTCGGGATCTGACATTAAGTGTATAATTTCTAAGCCAATCAGAGCTCTAGAATTGCCTTAACCAATGATTCAGTTTTCAATAATTACTCTTATCAAATTATATACAACTAAATATGTGTACAGGTCAGTAGCTAGCATACAGCAATAAGAAATTATTAATAGCCTGATTCTCGTAGCAGATATAATAGGCCACTGGCACTAAGAGGTCACGTGACCCATGCTTCCTTTAAACAATGAGTTGGAACCTTGCTGATGCCAAAAATTGACAAAAATCATCTAACACCCGATATTGAGAGGAAACGCATTTAAGGGAGATATTTTATGGCACTTTGATTTTTCAACAAAGTTGTATGATTTGTAATGGCCGTCATGTTGGAGGTCATACTCTTGCCCTCCAACATGGCGGCCAAAACTGCTTTTTGCTTATATCTTGTTAAACGTTTGATAGTTGCGCTCAGATGTGTTGTAAACGTTACATCATCTTTTCAACATTTTCCTTGAAGTTTAAGTGTAAAATTTTTTTTCAGAAGGAGGTAATTGATAAATTTAAAAATCACATTTTGGTCACGTGACCATTTACGAACTTACTCATTTTAAGAAAATGATGCGGGTTTGAAAAACCAAATCACCATTATTTTGTTTAAGATATGACCCACTAATCGTCTTTCGAACGGAAGGCAAAATCATATAACTTTCATTTTAATAAAAACGATGTCACATGACCTCTTAGTGCAAATGGCCTATTGAGTCAACCAACTTTAAATGAATTTGGATACAGCTTTTAAAAAAACTAGCACTTTGGGCTTTTAAATGAAAAAGGGTTTTACTGAATTCAGTGGAATTTTTTAAAACAAAATTTTAATTCTTTTTTATGCATTCAACAGAACGTCTATCCTTTGAGAGCACATACGTAAAGTACGTTACACATCAATTCAATTATTTTGCAGGAAAACAGTAACTATGACTGACGTAGTCAAAAATTCTATGAAATTTCTAACCATTTTTATCATCTCTTTACCGCTGTTCCTTTGAACCATTAATAATCAGCTGTGGTTATTTTATTTTGTAGGTTAGTACAATGAATAACTTTAACTCTCAGAGTAAAACTGGGGAAAACGTTTAAAATAAATTCGGGTAGTTAAAATAGGCTTTGAGTTATCTGGAAAGCACTTTTTCTCCGAAATCTTGGTCTTCATTTATCTTCGGAGAGTCGAGCTTTATTAGAGAGGCGTCCGAGAAGTTCTGAAGTTCTGTGTTCCCTGTTACTGTGAGTTTTCCTTTCAATTATTTAAGAACTCACTAGGTGGACTTAGCTTACATTTTTTCAACCCTATTAGTCACTCATAATGTACGCACCTTAGAAGAGGTCAAAAAACTTTCAAAACTATTTAGTTACTCGTTTGGGAAGTAGAAAACCTTGACGGAATTATTTCCAGTGTCGGCCACAGCAATCCGGCCTTCTGGGGTGTAGTCAATGCCTTGCGGGTTGCTTAGCTGTCCGTCGCCACTTATTTTCCCGCCAAACTTGGTGACGAAACGTAAGTGAGAGTTGAATACTTGAACGCGATTGGTTCGATCAGAAACGAAAATATACCCGGATGAATCAACTGTTATTCCCGAGGGATAGTGAAACTCCCCATCCCCAGTTCCGGGCCTCCCAAATTTTCGTTGAAACTTTCCCACCGAGTCAAAAATCTGCACTCGATGGTTTGAGGTATCCGTGACAAATATCTCGCCCTCTTGAGTGACGGCGATGTAGGAGGGGTTGTTAAACTCACCATCTTTGGTTCCCAGGGACCCAAACTGGTTGCAATAAACGCCCAGGTTGTTAAAAATCACGACTCTGTGATTCTGTTGATCTGTTACCAGCAGTTGCCCTTCTTCGTCAACAGCAACACCCGTGGGATTCTTAAAACTCCCCCCATTTCGCCCTTTATTTTGAATTACTTTACAAAGCAATCCGTCCAAACTGAACACTTGCACGCGGTTGTTTTGTTGATCAGCGACGACTATTTGCCCACTCTGGGAAAAGCAAAGACCAGTTGGCGAGCTAAACCTGCCAACTTCATCTCCAGAGCCTCCAAACTGCCGCATAAATCCTCCTTTGCTTGTAAACAGTTTAATTCTATCATTTAGTGAGTCGGCAACTGCGATAACTCCATTACTGGCCACGGCAACATCGGATGGGTTTCTGAATTCGCCCCGTCCTTTACCTTTGTAACCAAAGCGTAAGCAAACTGGGAGCGACTTGGTGGCAAAGCACATGTGACCTTTCTTTACAGTCACTGTGTAAGGGCTTTCTTCTACGTGTTCTTCATTCACCAGGACGGTAATCACGTGTTCACCATGAATTCTAGGTGTGTAACTGAGCGTGAAAAGCTTTGAACTATGTTCATTAATGACACAAGTGAGTATAACCAGATCAGGAGTTTCAATCCGAACATCCACGTTTGCTTTGTTTATCGAAGCATCTTCTCGCACAGCTAAAACAAAACTTGAGGTCTTGCCTACTGCAGCGTTGTACAGTCCCTCCCCGATAAGGCGCACAGCGGGAGCCCTGGTGCGGCTCTCCAGCTTTCCACCTCGGCTGATGACGTCAAACAGTAGGTCCTCCTCAGTGACGTAATCAAATTCAGGTCCCTCGGATGGTGACATGTCTTGAATCACGCTTGTTAAACCTCGAAGTCGTCCTGTCATAAAATCTTTTACCCTGGCGACTTCAGCTGCGTTTCCTTCTTGAAGTAACTTTTCCACCAAACCACAGTTGCTCTCAATACCCCTAAATCCTTTGTATAAACGTTCCTTTTGCTGTTCCAGCAATGTGGCTTTATATTCTCTCATGGCTCCCAGATCGTCCAACAACTGTTCTTCGCGTTGTTTCAACGCTCTTATATAGCGTGCTGTTGAACTTCGAATTTGCTCTTCCATTGCAATTGTGTGTCGAGGTATATCTTCACATGCCTCCTCGATCTCTAGCAAAGCTCTTTTTACAAAAGGAGTCCTTAGTTTAATCGTATCCAAGAGCGCAGTTATTTCTTGCCTGTGCTTGTTCGATGCATCTTTAAGTGGTTCGAATGAGTGAGTTGTTTTTGGATGACTCACAACAGTGCATTCTCGACAAATAGGTTTGTTGCATGTTGAGCAGAAGTACGTCACTTCTTCACGGTTGTGCTCCGAGCAGTTATCGGGGTTCCAAACATTGTTATTATCGTCATTTTCTTTCCCTAACTCACTCAGAGGAATTATGTGATGGTCTCTCGTAACACGCACTCTTCTATGAGCAGCTGTGCACTTGTCACACAAATATTCCTTGCATTCACTGCATTGGCCGGTGGCTTCGGAGTTATCTTCACAATTTCCACACTTGATTGGACTTTTTCTTTCCTCTACCACGTAACTCGGATTTTTGAGTATAAGAAAGTTCACAGGCAGTTCTTCAATTCCTTTACTTCCAAGTTCACTCGGGAATGAACATATAGGGCAGACAACGGTTCCTTCGGCTTCTCCACTTGTTTTTCCAGCAAGACTTTCGATGCAGCTCTTGCAAAAGCTGTGAAGACATCGTAGAAACCTAGGCCGATGAAAGGGTTGCTTGCAAACAGAACATAGCGCAGACGGGTCGCTTATAACACTTTGGTTACTTGTGGATTTCTGTGCCAGCTTTAATCCACCGTCATTTAATGACATCTTGTCCAGAGTTTCAAATGAGTTCCAGCGAGTCGGTTGCGTAATTTCGTCGAAATAATCCTCAACAGATAAACTTTCCCAGGTTTTCCAGCGCCTCATGATTCTACCAGAGCACTCTATTTTAACTGAAGGAAATATAATCCAATACTTCAACTTAAAATACAAGTACTCTCAGATAGTAGTCATGGAAATGAATAAAGATGTAAAGTATGTCTTCAGTGCCTGATGATGAGACTTTTAGCTTACTCAATCCGAGGAAAAAAACGGGAAAATTTGAAGAACTCTCAGCAAAAAGCAATTTCTCTCTCTGTGAATAATAATCTTTCTTGCTGAGTAATTTAATCTAAATATGTTTCTACTTAAGCGGTGGTTGGGTCCAGTAGTTGCGTTTAAATTATTTATGCGAACGTCAAACAAGTACGCAAGTGCTATTAATAAATTTGTTCTTTATACGTCGTGCGGAGGAAGGAAGAATTAGCATGCTGTAAGACGTGCTCTAAAACAGTTAAAAGACACCTAAAAAAAATATATAATCTTCAGTAAGTTTAAGAAAAAGATGTTTGTATGGATGATGAACTCTGGTGCTTGTACGATTCTCCCCTAGCCAAAACGTAGTCTAATCGTTTGAGTAAACATTAATAAAAGTATATGACATTAAGCAAAAACACTTTTAATTTCCTCAGAATTGACACACCCAGTGTTTTACTGTTAGGCTTCCAGATAAAAAAAATCGGAATATAATTCAATGTTGTTTTCATTCGTGTAGGCTTTGTTAACCGGTGACGGGTAAACCCATTATTACACTTAAAAACGTTTGCGGTTAACAGGTGGCGTTTTACAAACACAACCACCACCAGTCAATAATGACATAAACAAATTCTAACTTTGAAATGTTTACTTTATTTGAAAGTAAAATTCTTTGCTCATAACACTGTGTGAAGGCTGAATGTACAGGCAGCCCAAGCTATTGTTCGGTCGAGTGGATTACTGGTGGGTAATGTGGGTACTGGTGGGTAATTACTGACCAGGCCTCCTCACTTGAAATACGAACCCGTTTAGAGGTATTTAAGGTACTTGAGCCCAGAGAAATAAAAATATTTAAATGCTCTCTGGCAAGCTGTGCTTGATTTTTTCCTAAGATTGCTGTTCCTTCTTCTTTTTTTTTTCTCAGTGGTAAAAACGTTTAATATTTTTTGCTTCTTTTAAACAAGTATGAATAACGAAATACATTGGTTTTGTAGAAGTCACGATCGTGAAGAAAGTGACTGGGGAAGCAAAAAATTATCCGGGTAAAAACAAACTTTCGCCAGGTATCGGGGAGGCTAAATTACCAGTGGGTAGACTGAATTAAACCACTGGGTAGAGTTTCACTGTGTTCTACCACACAGCGTACATTCTGCTTCAGTATCTCCAATGAAACTAGAAACTCTTCCTCTGATGAGGTTTTTAAAAAGTGTGTCAGGCTTGAAATGACCATTTACCCGTAGTTTATTATATTTTAATTCTACTGTATTGTATTGTCATACAAAGAGTTTGACTTGAAAAAGTGAGCCCATTTTTCACGTTGAAATCCGTTTCAATCCCGGCAATCGAAAGCCACAGACGAACGCTCCTGAATTAAGTATAGTAAAGAAGTAATGTTGTATAAACTGAACCATTATTTCAGGGTTTTCTTCCAATCTATCTTGTCAGTAACGCCAAAATTCGAGAGATAAGTCTTGACGATTTCACTTCAAAACCTGCTGCAAAGTTTTGACCTCACGCGGTCGACAATACCTAATTACAGTGTAGAGACACTTCACATCAACTTAAAAGACTTATTTACTTATCCTGGATAACTTGGGTAAAAAGGTAAGGAAAACCCAAGTCGCTTCAAGACAAACAAATGCTTTTTTCTGCGGATCATTTATTCAGAAATGCACATATGCCTCATTCATATCCAAAATGTTCTGAGTAATTTTCGATCGGTTTTCAGTTGACTGCACAGGACGCGCTTTTGTGATCGCTTCGCGTCAGAACAACTAACGAATTTTCATTCTCTGCAAGTCACCAGCGAAATCTGGCGCTCCACCGCTAGATTTGGTTTTGATATCGAGGGTACGTCTTCAATGAGGACGTCATGGTAGGTATGAAAAGCGGCATAACCATTGATATGGCAACAGAGTCAGGCTGTGGGCGAAATAAGCCTACAAGTAATTCTTTCCTGAGCCAAATCAAAGTAGATCGTTTATAACCACACGGGCTATACTGTGTCGGTGCAGGTATTAGATTAATTTTCTCCTTTTCGGACACATAACCAACGATTTTCGTCCTTCGCTGGGAAGTGCCAAGTGTCCCCAGTGGTTTGAACAGCGTAGTCAAACGGCTTCTTAGTCTGAGGACAACAAAACGTACACCTCCTTTAAACACAACTCTAAAAGTAAGCTACAACAACATGATACGACCAAAACAAGAAAACATAATTAAACGTACATTCAATGTTTTATATATATAACTAACCAGCAAATTATTCAAACGGAACAACGCTAAGCAGTAGTTTCGATGTTTCTGCCGCAATCTTCTATCAAGTATACAGTGTAGGAAGCGCTTAGTATTTTATGTTGTGTTTAGCTGCTATCTTTGATTGAAGGCAGAGGAGGACCCTAGGCCAGAAAAAATGTGATCAACAAAGAGGTAGGGCATAAAAAAAAACAAAGCCAGAGAGGCTATTTTCTAGCTAGCCTTTCAATTAGCCTGCGTAGCAAACGTTTCTAGTTGACAGCAATGTAAACTGCGAGCAGTCTCTTATAAAAAATGTTTTTCTTTGCAAAGCTACTGCACGCGAAAGTCCCAAGCTCGCGAGCTGTGTCCCAATCGCTTACTAAGGACTTTACGATCCGACGACGCGATGGCAACGAGAAAAAACAACAACTCTGCACGTGCATCTCACTTTTTTGTACATTTCTTTGCCGTTTTTGCACGACTACGACATGAAATTACCTAATTTTCCTTTTTAGGGAGGACGTAAACAAGCAACGACACAACTTTAATCTCTTTCTAAACTTGAATATGGTTCTTAGAAATTCAACTCCAGAAGGGTTCGCCTACATTTGACAAAGTAAGTGAGTTGGAATAATCGCCATAAAGACCGAAAGAACGCAAATTCATTTTTGAAGTGACGTTTTCGCCGCCGTCGCGTCGTCGGATCGTAAAGTCCCTATCGCGCTGGCTAAGAAAAGAACTAGATGGATTTTAAGAGAAAAGGCGGAATGCAAGCACCTAACAGCAATGCAAAAACAACAATTTTTAAAAAGAGAACACACTTAACGTTCAAAACTAGAAGAAAATAGCAACTTTTAGTACGGTGAAAAGGACGGCAAAAAGCATTCATGAGCGCAATGAGCGCAACAACAAGACACCACAATCCCAAAAGTTAAAACTAGATCACAAGGCTTAAGGTCAAATGGAAAACATCAGCAAAAACAATACATACGGCAAACACTGGGTCATTCCCAACAAATCTGTCCAGCTCCATTTGATAGAGATTTTGCCATCTTCTGAACTGAACTTTCATCAGTGGGTCCATTCCACTGATGTGATCATAAAACCGGTCACATGACACAAGCTGTGTTCCTGCACCACAATGCATTGCAGCGCTCAGAAAATATAAGTCATCCATTGAGCTGAAATAAAAGGCAAGGAAACTTCAATGTTAAACTCAGTATACAAATAGTTTGTACATATTGCCTACGTGTCTGTTCAGTTACAGATCACAGATGACATCAACAGGTTCTAAGAACAAAATACAGTGTTCCAAAAAGACCAAAAACACAAGTGACAAAATCGCTTCATGACCCTGAACTGTTGAAATAATTGTTTCAATTTAGAAGTTATAGCATTTTTCTACTCTCCAAGAAGAGGGGCTCGATGGTGTTAACCGTCAGCTGTTGAAACAGGTTAGTTTTTCCTGTCAACCGTCAAAAAAGGAAATTGATATTAAGCATCAAAAAGTTTCAACGCCTTTCAAATCGTACTTTTTCAGCTGATCTTCATGGACTTCTGTAGACCTCGTTTATGAATGCCCCCTAACGTGAATGAATATATCCTTGATAGTTATGAGGTATAACTATACTTTCAGTCTGAAGTGGGGGGAGGGGTGGGGGTGGGTGGTCTCAGGTGAATAGAAATTGAGTCTGAATATTTTTTACATTGACCAGTATACAAGTAAGTTAAGTGCAGGTACATTATACCACAAAAATGGGCTGAGTTGCCCAGAGACTAAAACTCCATATTGATCTCTATTTTTCTTGTTCCACTTCCTGAAAATGTTGCCCTTACTAGTAACTGATCATGACACAAACAACTAATTACCTTTCCGCCAAACAAAATACACCACACTGCTCATGATTACTCAAAAAACTCATCAGAGATCCAAGGGCTGTTTGAGCGCCTTTCTTTGTTTTGGCCTTTAGAGTCATTGGACTAGAGCTCACAACCAAAACTCGCTTCTTTTGATTCACAAAATGCAACACTGTGTTTTCTACCTATAACAGAGCAAAACATTTTGAGATATTGAGAACTATCACAAGTCCAATTATCTTTTGTTTGTGAAAATATCTCACAGAAAGTTATTCACCAATACTTGCAGCGAGTAAGCCTGTACCAGTTTGAAGTACATGTAATACTATTGATTATTTTCCTTTTCCCCATAATACACTCTGTTCACCCTCCCCATGCTCAATTACTAAAACTTTTAAAAACGAATTTCAATGAAACCTGAAACATAAAAAGCCTATTTCCAGGCTTTTCTACAAGAAATATATGGCGAACATTGACTAAGCAAGGCCAAAGACTACTTTGATGCGAGTAATTCAACTTTATTGCACAAAAATTAAACTTTTATTTAGTTGAGATCAATGTTTTTTATAGCCCATGGTCTGATACAAGAAAAATCCTGGAAGGTCACGACAACAAGTCCAAAAATTATTGAGTCTGTGGTGCTCTACATAATGTCTAAAAATAACCATGCCTGGTGGTTACATGTGCATGTACCTTTCTAGGATCAAAAAATCCTGTGAAGTATGCAACGTTGAGTCCATCTATGACAACATCATAGGGTCCTGTGGTTTTGATAAACAACTCTACACTTTCAGGGGCCTTGTTCAGTTGTTCTGGTCGGACATAATCAATGTAGTTTCCAGCTGAAGTAAAGCACCTTATTTGCTTAACACCTTTGTGTTTTTTCCACAGATGTTTGGCAAGGGGGTGCTTTAACTCTTCCAATTCTGCTTCAGAAAATTCACCAGTTTCCAGCTTCTGTTTGCAGACTTGACAGTGAAATCTGGGTTTAGAAAAACACAGCTTACATTACTTTTATGGGGACCTTCACTCTATATAAACAACTCAAGTTACAGTAGTAAGTGCAATAGCAAAATGACTAGCCTATAACACTTGAAAATCACTGACGTATGAGTAAAACAAAGAACAAAGAAAATTTAGAAAGAGGTGTATTTTCTTAACTAAATGCCCCCGACGTTTATTTAAAAATTAGCAGTTTTGACGCGGCATTTTTTTTAGGCTGGCATTTAAACAGGGTCCAGTGCATATTAATGAAATGCAGTTTTCTGTCATTTTTTCAGGTTGATTTATTATTACTGATCCTTGGAGACCCAGGAGCAGTTTGTCAGGGCAATGCTTTTTCCATTCATCCTACCCCTGGGTCTCCTGGACCTCCAAAGATGATAACTGTGCGTCCCATTACCCAAAGTAACAGTATTATGGTACTATACGTAAGGTACATGTACGATGTTCCAATCAAGATTTGAATCCCTAACAAAATGAAAAAAGAAACAATACATAGAATAGAACAGAATAAATAAAATTAATTAATGTGTCAGAGCCGTATAGCTTGGGAAAAACCCCATACTAATTTGCGGACACAAGTTATAATTAAAAAATTAGAATTACTTATACAATATAAAAGTAAAAATATTTAAACTATGCATAATCTACATGCATTACTTAAGTAATAGAAAACATTCTCTGTGTTTGCATAGCCTGATATAAACACAAGAGGGGCTGGGAGAATTCAAGACAGTCATGCAAACCCGAGACAAAGCCAAGGGTTTGCACAACTGTTGACAATTCTCCCAACCTCTCAAGCGTTTATATTAGGATATGCAAACACAGAAAAAAAGGTCCAGCGTTTAATTGAGAAAATACAGTAAGGGGGAAAGTTTAAAAAGACAAAAATTTACAAATTACACATTTAAATTGTGTGCAGAAGAAACAAAGCTCAGCAATATGACAAATAAAGAACTAGCATTGTATCATCTGTAGATTCAAGTGGGAATGATAAATACAGCAGTTAACCTAAGAAGATACATGATTTCTTTTCCCTCGCTATACACTCTGCATTTAGCGTCAGTATAAATTTGCCATGTTGTCGTGTTTTAAACTCATCATTTTGCATGTGCATTTACTGAGTTTTTTCCCCTTACTGAGCTCCAGTCCCACAAAGATACACCATTAAATTGTATTTTCTTTAAAGGAGTGAGTACATGAATGACATGCTATTTGACATTTTGACAGCAACACTTTAATACATATCTAACATGAAAATTGAGACACTGTATGAAAAATTAACATACTGGGGTAATAAACAACATTTTGAGCAAAGGGAGTTTTTTTCTTGTTACCCCAAGTCAGTGATTATTGGCCAGGGGTTAAAGCACAGTACAAAACCAGGAGATGTTTGGTCTAAACAAGTTATTGTTTGCCGTCCTTAAACTGATCACTGGTAGGAGGAATAAATCTTGGTCATCTGGTTATACAGATTTCTTACACCTAGTCCATTAGAAATTTTGCAGCAACTTTTCTTCAGCAAAAGAACTCACTGCAGACTAAGCAGGACCAACAAAAAGCAAACCCCAGGGTTCTCATTTTTATGCGAAATAACTGAAAGCCAAAATAAGATTGCAAAACTAAAAGGAAGTCTCTTGATATTTTTCAACTGATTTTTATGGAGACAGACAACTTTTTTTCTTGGGTCAAGTTGCGGTCCAGTTTTGGCGTAATAGAGTCCATACAGGGTGGCCAAGTTGGAGGAATAAACAATAAAAAAATATTTGCAGGAAAATGAACTTTTTTACCAAAGGAAAACTGTTTTATTGTTTTCTTCCTCCAATATGGCCATAGTGCACCTACTCTATAGGCCCTTTTTGGGTGTAACATTATTGGGCCTGGTTCTCCTTGACACCTTGATACTTGAGTAACCCTTGCCACCCCTCCTTCCAATTTCTTTGTTTAATTTATTTGTTTAATTCTGTTTTTCTTTAGTCTGTTATCTAGTCATCATCCATGTTACAATTTTTACTTCATTTACTGTAAACTTTCGTTAGTTAGTAACCTTAGTCTTTATTTTTATATTTTGCACGCATTTTCCCACCTTGAATAGCCTTGCTAGCTGCGGGCAAACTTCTGCAATGTTATTTTTTTCATTAATAAAGTTTTATTGTTGTTGTTGTTGTTGTTGTTCCAAGGCACGAAAAAGTAGATAAGTACACATAGGCTACATAATGTTGAAGATGATATTTTCACTTACGTTGTGGATGCAGTTGACCAGGAAGTTACCCATTTGGGTTTTTCTTGCCTGCAAACCAATAAAAAGTTAGTGAATCTTCAAGTCATAGATAAGTGATTAACACATTATAACCTCCAGTGTCTATTAACCAACCATTAGTTTACGTTACATCTGTATAGTTCATGACTGCATATGACTAGCTTACATGTCACTGCCATTTTGCTGGCCAGATACAAATATCTATGGTTAACCTTACCTTTCAAACCACAGCTTAACTGCCTCAAGAGTGTCACTGCTCATCAAGTCTCGATACTTTTGAAACTCAGAAAACATTGCAAATACTTTGCTCACTACATTGTCATCTTTATACCCTGTACAAGCGCGAATAATTGCAGTATATTTATCAGTGTTTCGTTCACTGTAAGCGGTAGTTTGCTGCATTTCATTTAAAGAATGAAACGCAGATGTCAGATCACCTTTAGAGACAGCTGCCTTAAAGAACGGAACAAAGTGTCGAGATTTTGGCTTCAGACCATCTTTTCTCATCTCTTCAATAAGGCTCTTAATGTCTCCAAAATCACTGGACTTAGAATACAAGACTGCAAGAGAAGAGTAAGTTGACGAATTCTTCGGAATTTCATTGTTTTCCATTAGAGTTTTAAGTTCATGAGCTTCGTTGACCTTGCCGTAATAAGAAAACCAGTATAACGCAGAGTTAACAAATGCTGTTCGATACTGCTCGGGAAGTTGTAAGAATTGATTAAAAAGTTGCAAAACATTGGTACGTTTCATATCCGTCTGCTGGCAGAGCCTTCGGATGTCGTCCACGTGCAAACGTTTGTGAATGTCGCCACTGAATTTTTTTGTTTCTTCAAGCTTTTCCTGTGGTTCTAAAGACGTAAAACACCACCTTACTCCTAACGCGATGCAGTGTCTTACGTTGGTTGCCCTTCCGTTCGATAGTTTTGTTAAACATACTCTGCAACGAAGAAAACTCATCACTCTCGCCGCCATATTTGCTCGCTCCAGTTCCCATCCACCTTTACAGATGAACTTGTCATATAATTGGCACGAAATGTGGTTGAGATGTAGATGACAGGTAAATTTCGTAAACACTTTAGTCTACTTTGGGTAGAGATATAAAAACACCCTGCGACTGCCCAGGATAAAGTGGCTATTCCAGAAATGTCTGAAACGTCTCATCTAAAATTAAACTAAGCACCCTGCTAAGCACTTTATTTAACGAGTCGTCCTTTGTCGATAGAAGACACTTTGTGCTTATTATATGAGGACTTCACTATGGTGAACATGGCGGGAAGGTTTGCCGGATCACTTCGACATCGGACATATTGCGAACATCTGAAAGTAGCCACTGAGTTTAAGCGCTCTGTGTTACAGAGGAAGAGGTGGCTCATTTCTTCTTCTGTAGTATCATCTGTAAAACATAAGAACAAGCGACTGCGAAATGATGACATTCGGACGTTGTGTGAGACAGGAAATCATGAAGAAGTTTCCAAGCTATTCAATCAACTCCTTGAACTTCCCGTCAAATATCGAACAAATTCTGTTAACTCTGCCTTGTACTGGTTTTCTCATTACGATAAGATCGAGGAAGCACTTGAACTTAATAATTTGATGGAAAAACATGGAATCCCCAGAAATCATTCAACGTACTCCACTCTTTCAGTCTTGTATTCCAAGTCTGGACGGCTTGTAAATGCTAAGGAATTTTTCGACAAGATGACAAAGGCTTCTTTAACACCCAGAGCACGCCACTATGCTCCTTTTGTAGAGGCGGCTGTCAGAAAAGGACATCTGATTGATGCGTTTAATTTTGTCAAGGATATGCAGTCTGCGGCTATCCATGAGAGAGATACTGACATTTACACAACACTTATTCGCGCTTGCATTGAAAGACAAGACAGGCATTTGACAAATCAAGTATTGGAAGCATTCCACGACTTCATCAAGTATCGAGATTTGTTAAGTAATGACACCCTTGAGGCAATTAAAATATGGTTTGACAGGTAAGGTGGGATCTATGTAGATGGGTAGTTCTCCAGTGTGGGTCATTTCATTTCATTTTAGACACTGTTAGTTTCAAAATGAGTCATTTCGATGTGAGCTTAAGCAGTTAGATTGCACAACAATTTCAGTTTTAGTTAGTGCATGAACAAGAAAAATGTATGGTGTGAATATTCCAGATTGACATGATTACTACAACATCAGATGGACCTTAGATTTAAAACCAAGGCCTTCACATCCTCGTACCATGCATAATATATAGATTTAGCCAGGGCTAAAAGCGAAGCTCCTATTAACTCGAATTTATAATTCAAATCAAACAATAAACTTGTATTCCACAAATCAGTTAACTTTAGAGCACATTCATGTGACTTTTGAGGGAAAGACTACGTGATTTTCGAGAAAAATAATTTGCAAACAGTCCAAGCTAAGAGTGAACTTCATCTTACATCGAGTTGATAGCCTTTATATGTACACCCAAAAAATAGCAATCATCTTCGATCACATTTAAGAGCCATAATGGCTCTTGATCACAGTAGATTAGGCCTGGAAAACACCTGCGCCGTTTTCATCATACAGACCTCGGACAGAATGCAGTGTTTCACAATTTTGCAATACAAATTGCACTCATTCAATATTCAGGACGATCAAAGCACGTGTGGGCTTTTAGCGAAATCGTCAAAAAAATTTCCAAAATCACCTATACGGCTAGCCAGTTCTCACTTTTGACAAGTCGACTGTTTAAATTAAGATTAATATAGTTATACGCTTCAACACAATAAAGAATTTATTATAAAGATCTGTAATCTTCAAAAGCGTTTGATACGCGCGGCATTTTGACTACTCCTGCAAGCGATGTTCATGAGCGACTGAAAACAAACGGCACAGCGATTAAAATTGCAAAAGAGACTACTAACAATCAATAAAGAAAGGGAAAATAATTCGGTGAAACATATACAGAGACAACAATTTTCATTCACGAAGACAAGTATTAAAGTGTCTCTGAAAATCCTTGTTTACGTTTTAAGCCGGCTTCCCGGTGTTTGCTTTTTTCAAAGATGAACTCGAGGCAAGAAAATCGCTCAAAGCTTTCTTTTACAGCCAGAATTATAACCAAATATTCTTTGGAACGTTTTCTTTCTATTTGCGGTGAGAAAATGTCTAAAGGCTTTTTAAAGTTCCATAAGCTTATAATCAAACCTGATACTCGGTCACTCTCGGTCAGATCATTGTCTCAAATCTTACAAACGTGCATAAACCAAATAGCCGCGTAAACTACGCTCGACTTCATTAAATTAGATATAAAAAACAAACATCAAATACAATAATTACTCAGGCTTACCTTTCGAGATGCACTGAAAACTATCAAGTAAGGCCAGAATCGCTTCAGACTTTTCAACCGTCTTACGCATCAAGCAAGGTGAAAAACGAAAACGATGCCATCCGAAATCGGATTTCCGACTTTGCCAAAGCGACGTATTTCTCAACCAAAAACCCAATAAACAAACTAGCCATGAATAACAGAAGACTCTTGATAGCAGCTGAATTTCACTTTGTACATTCAGTGGAAAAAGACAGTTAAAAACATCACAAGTTGACACAAAACTCTGTCAGCTTCAGCTGTCAAAGTAAACAAGTTTCAAGATGCTGCATAAATTTTCCGCGTGAACTCACCTGTCAAATTTTGACCAATCAGAGTATAAAAATTGGACGTAGAGCGTGACCAACGCGTGACCTTGGTGAGAAAAGTCAAAAGCAACTAGCATGTCCTCCCTGCCTGTAAAAACTGGCTTAATTTTTAGCTGCCGAGGTCAGTTTGAAATCAAAATTTTAATTGTGCGGCACATATAAAACACGTCATAATTCATATGAATTGAAAAATTAAACTTGAGCCTGCAATCATTTGAAAACTAGTAACTTGTCAGCGGATAACTTCAAAAAGATACTCGACCTCGATGGGTCGATACCTGAGCTCGCGATACAATCAGGTGATACTGGTCAGCGGATACCCTGTTTTGACAGCTGTCAATTGATCACAAGATTGATGTGCAATATGTCTGCAATATCAGTCTTCCTGTGCTCCCAAACTAGCTAGAAAGTGTGAGATTGAACATTGGTTGCCCTGTGGTGCGGACGGACGGGCGGGCTGAGGGCGGTGTACGGTCACGTGATTACCAAATTTTCTGGGATGGGTAGATTTACTTACCCATGGTGCTCCGCAGGCGCGCTTCGCGCACCAGAGCTCCGCTATTACATGATATTAGTATGCAGAACAAAGTATCCTGAGAACGTGGACAGATTTTGGAAAAACCACGCTATACAGTTATAGTGCTGCTGTCCTCCCCCACCAAGAATACGTCTGCAGGCTCGTATTTTGCTCGCCCACAATAATGCATATGTTGTAGCTAATTTTTTATCTCAGGTAATTTTTTTTTTTTATCTTGTTTCAACGTCATTAGCATACATTACTGTACGCGAAACAAAAGAAAAACAGAAATTACCTGAAATAAAATATTAACATATATATTACAGGTCAAAATTAAATTCAGGTTAAAATTTTTTAACCTAGGTTGATTCTCAATTTCCTTTGTCTCCTAACCCTAAAATTTGGGATAGTTATTACTCCCATGGACTGAAGTTTCCTGTCAAAGAAATTACAGTTGAATATGGTTGCACCATAAGGTTTTGCCTAAAGTTAAAACTACAGGATATCTTGATTACAGTCAGCAGGGTTCTTACTGAGTCTTGAATTCTTGAAAAAGTCTTGAAATTTCCCCAGCAATTTTCCAGACCTAGAAAAAAGTCTGGAAAATGGAGATAAAGTCTGGAAAAATGGTAAAAAGTTTTGATTTTTTTTTTCAAAGCTACAACAAGTGCTTTAGAAGTGTCTTTTAAATATTCATTTTGGTCAAATCGTATTCAATCTTGCCCATTTATTTGCAGCGCATCATGAAAAAAGCTTTGTTCCTGCATTTTTTAAGGTCTCGATTGATCACTTATTTGATAACCTCGAGTTTGGGAGTAAATTGTTGTGGAAAAAGTCTGGAAAAAGTCTTGGATTTTGGATCCAAAAATCTGTACGAACCCTGAGTCAGGGTTAGGAGCAAAATGATCTTTAGAAGAATTGTCTGTGAACTCTTTTTCTCCTGATCATTAACTCCAAAAAGAGTGTGTCTGTCATTTTCTCTTTCTCAGGCAAATGTTACCCATATGGAAAACTTCATGGTCAAGTCTTTCAGTCACGTAAGTATAATCATCAAAATTGTGTCTTGTAGCAGTGCAACATGAGCTGAGAGTGTGAACATAAAGTCATTGGCTGGTAATAAAGATAATCTGTTGTAATCATCCAGCCAATTATCCCTAGCATACATTGGAAGTCAATATCTGAGGGTATGAGATAAGGAGTTTATCCTCCAGGTATTCACCTTCCCTGCATTCCCCTGGGGAGAAACTAAATAAAGTTTAAATAAAGTTTACTTGTAAAAACCCTACCATGCACATCATGACTAACCCACTGTAATCAAAATCTAGATGCAAATGTAAAAATTCCCAGGGTGTACATACATGTCTGTAAAGGAATGCTCTGCACTGACCTTGAAAGAACATGCCCTTTAACTTGACCAAAGGTACCATTTCATTTATATTCCATAGGAAATGGTTTCCCCATATTCTATCTGGAGTAAATACACTGCATTCCTTTTTTTTACACTTATATGCTGAGTACCTTTGTAAAATTCTTAAAGTGGATCAGCTGTTAGATGCATCCCTTTATGATACTTTGAAAGACCTTTCTTAAATTATACATTCTTAATCCTTTGCCTTTTCTATATAGTCTGCTTGCAGCCTGCCTTTTCTCTTAAAATCTGTCTAGTTCTCATCTCAGCCAACACAATTGCAAACCATGACGTTACGTTACGATAAGGGATTGGGACAAGACAAGAAAAGATGGACTGCAGACTCTTTTGTAGTAAACTATCCATCAACCCAGAAATGGAGTAACTGATTGGTCAATTTTACAGCTGTTTACAGATCATTGTCTGGTCTGTGGTGAGATTGCAAGCGATAAAAATAGTCATGCATCACAACTAACTACAAACAACAACAAACCAAGGGGCAATTGCTTGTAAACTAAAATGTTTAAAGATATTTTACTGAAGGAAAGTCCTGTAAATTTCCTTAAGGGAAAGGAATACAAGGCCACGTTACCAGATTTAAAGAAAGTGTGATTTTTCAGTTGTTTATGTTCTATTTATAAATCGTTTCAAGTTACTCAGGTTTAATTGGTTAATTAAATTATCTTGACAGCTTCATTGTACCCACACAGAACAAAATAGTCAGCAGTCTCCTAATTTTTCTTCTCGGAATTACTCCCTCATTTATAGAGGCTCCTGTGCTTGGGTTTCGCGTGTAGTAACTTTGCAAAGAAAAATAAGAGACTGGTCGCAGTTTACCTTGTCTATGTCTTAACGCATGAAATCCCTAACTCTACCTCAGTCCATGTCTTAAAAGGCAGGGTATCCTTGTGTAGTCCGTTGTTATTTTTAGTGATTATTCACTGGCAGAAATCCCTCCAGGGCTCATAACATGCTACTGTAAAATCAAATGACTGTATCTTTTCTTCACCAGAAATCACTGCAAAGCCTGCAAACAAAGCCTTGATACAGGTCAGTTTTCTGTGGCAGAACTGGAAGATTTGAAACAACCACTTGCTGACCTCTTGTGGGAGTATCACAACCTCAAGGCTCTTCCTCCTGTTAAGTGTTTTACTTCTTCTGGAGTTTATGTTGATCATGTTCAACCAGGAAAAAGGAATAAATTTCCTCAGAGTATTGAACAATTTATGCAGGCTAGTGGACCATACGATGTTATTATAGATGGACTCAATATTGGGTATTTCACATCTGGGTTCTTTGATCCTAGGAAGGTGAATAATTTTGCAAAATTTCTTGCTTCACTCAGTGTTGTGTTTTCCCCATGTTTGTTTTGCACTTGGCCCTCTGATTTCACATTTTACCAATAACTTATGAAAAAGTCTGACTTAATAATGGAAAATAAACCCTTTCAGCTTGTATGTGTTGTTTCCTAATTCAGACCATGTGATGTTCTTAATGGAAGTTGTTTTGTCCTCTCATAAATTATGCACACATACCAGGTATTGTTTTGATAGGTTCAGAGAGCATTCCCATAATTTGTTCTCAATTTCATTGACAATATTACAAAGAGCTTTTCAACAATCTCATGTACAACGTTATTCAGTTTACCATATTTGTTACCAGTAAGCAAATGTCCTCTTGGGACTATATCATATTTTTATTACTTGATGAAACACAGCTCTAAGAGCAAACTGTCTTCTTTCTTTAGCTGAACAAACTCACAAAAATAACAACTAACTTCCCCTATATTTTCTAATATCTTTCTGTGTATGTTGCAGTTAATTTATTAGTTTAGTTAAATTTTTTTTTCTGTGTTTTAAATTCATTAGTGTACATTACCATACCCCTATAAAATGGAAAAATAAAAATTAACTGAAATAAAAAAAATAATTATTAACTTCAACATGTACAGGCAGGTTCATGGTTATAACACATGTAACTCAAGTCGCTTCTATATTCATTTTTGTTTTGTTAGTATAGATACTTTTGTGTTATCTAATCAAGCTTCTGTTTTCTGATGTCTGCAATGCTCCCAGCTTACAATTTTCATTCTAAAGTGATTTTGATTTATTCAAATATTTTGTACTTACAAGTACCTTTGTCAAAATAAATTAATAAATGAACTGGAAAAAAAAAAAACAACTGAACCCCTACTGATGGAAATTTAACACAATAAAATGAAATTAAAATTTAACTCTTGTAGTGAGGCCAATGCATGCCTTGTCAAAACAGTAAAGCATCATTCCCCCTTTACATTATATGCCATTTCCAGATCTCCCATAGTACACCCTGTTTGCCCCCCCAAAGGTTTTGCATAACCTTTGTCATTCATTTGCCTTGGCTATTACAGTCGTCCCAAGAGAAACTGAAACCATGTTTATGTAATTTTTTTTTGGGGGGGGGGGGGGGGGGGGGGGCAAGGGGGGCAAAAAAGGGGCATTAGGGGAGAGGTGCAAGGGGCAGGTACAAGTGTTATAACAAAAAATGAAAATTAGGAGTGCATTTTTTGGAATTTTATTGGTTTACACGTGTTTCAGGGTGCAAATAGTTGTGTTAAGAATAAATAATTTTCTCCTTCCCCCTTTAAATTTCTCACCCTTTCCCGCCCCCCCGGTCTCCTCCCTTTCTCCCCTCCATGTGTTTTTTACTGTCCGTTTTTATTTTGTTTGCTTGGTTTATCAGAGTTATACAATAACAAATAAAGTTGTTTTTTAGTTTTTTTTGTTTGTGGGGGGGGGGGAGGGGTGGGGACAAGGGGGGCAAACAAGGTGCATTATGGGAGATGTGCAAGTGGCAAGTACAAGTGTTATAACAAAATATGCAAATTAGGATTTCATATTTCTGTATTTTATAGGTGGAAAATGTAGTATTACATTTCTTAAGGCAAAACAAGCGAGTTTTGGTGGTAGGTTCTAGTCCAATAAGAATGGATTTCCAGAACAGAAGAAAAACGGATGTTGGACAAATACCATTAGAAGGCCTGATCAGTTTACTGTGTGCTCATCAACACTGTGGGGTATTTTGTCTAAAAGAAAGGTAATTCAGCATTTTTTTTTTCTTCCATAAAAATGACCTTTTGGTTCCTGTGTGGGAAATTGTGTCTTTATCACATCATTCTTAATTTAATAGGGAATATAACTTGAGCCTGTAGTCAGCCTGGTGAAGGGGCCCAAATCACCCAAGAGCATATGCAGGTGATTAGCTAGTAGCTGTTACAACACAGTAAACATGACTTTCATCTCTGCATGTATACCTTGATGAAAGGAAGGAAGACTTTATGATGAGAGGACAGAATGGTCTCCAAACAATTTTTCTAACTAAAATATAAATTGGAAACAGTACAGTGGAAGAAGCCAAAAAATTAAAATGTTATAAAACACTAAAATATAAACGATCTGTCCAAGTTTCAAGTCTTTGTGGCCCACAGTTTCTGAGTTATTTGCCAAAACGTTTCATGCACCTTCGTAGAGCTTTGTATGGAGACGCCATATTGGTGTACCATTTTGGTCCACCAATATAGCTGCCAGAAATCTACAAAAACGTCTGGAGTTCACTTTTTCTATAAAAGCTCTTTCTGTTCACTCGAGAACTAGCATATGTGCGCATAAACATATCTTCTGGTGATACTTGAAATGGTTATACTGCTGAAAATCAAGAGAAGAGACTTTTTTTCAACGAAACAGCATTCCTTTTTTGGTGTCACGCACCGTAAAGACTTAGTAGTTCAAATTGCTGTATTTTCGAAATGAAATGTGCCATGGGAATGGAAAGTTGTACAAAGTTTTATTTTTTGTTCATCTTCAAGCTAGTATAAGAATAATTCGTAAAACTTCGCGGTTTTGACTTTACAATTTGATGACTTGGGAACAACCCTATACCAATTTGGGCATACAAATTATTTATAATTAATTAATTGGAATTACCTATACAGTATAAAAGTAAAAATATGTAAACTACACATAATATATTATACTCTATGATAATCTAAAATAACTGAGAGAGAATTGTAAAATTAAATGGTTATGATGTGCAGAGAGGATGGCTCTTACATCCATCACCTATCATTGAGCTTATTTTTTTTAAGAATTCTGCTTTTAAAGATGTTCACAGTTTTTGCTGATGTTAAATCAGGTGGTGATTTTCACCATAACCTAGGCCCAAGGGTTAGTATTTAGCCAACCAAGACTAAAGATTGTCAGTGATGAAACTTTATTCATTTTATAACATTTTGTTTCCATGCAACGGTTGCTAAGATGTGTTTTTTTGTAAGAAATGCCCCTTTTTAAAGAAGATCGAACAGACCAAGTCACTGGCCCCAACAATTTGTAGATCCAATTGTCAAATAAGTAATCTATGGGTATTTGGCTATCTGAATCTGTTATCAAACCTTTTGTGTGGTGGGGGTGGTACGATGTTGTATTTTTTCTGGCCTATGCTCCTCGACAAGATGCAAAGATAAATCATGAAATAACAAGAAAACACTGTGACCCTGAGGTTGTATGTCAAGTTTGAAAACTCCATGGAAAGGTGATCCTGTTGTAAGAGAGGGGAAGAGTTAAAATTTGTTAATGAAGTAGATATAAAGAAGCTCTTTTTGGTTTATTTGGCTGCTATTGTGAGAACAAAAGGAACTTTATTGGTTTACATGTTACAAGCTAGCCAATGAATTTGTTATTTTCATTACCAATGAACTAGTAATAATTTTGAGGGAGTGTGATTAATGATTCATTTGTTTTTCCAGTTCAATAGATGATGTGTACTTTCTGAGTGCAGCCGTCCACTGTGGACCAGGTACTCTTCTGGTGTCCCGTGACATGTTTGGCAATCACATCAGTAGAATGGATCTGTGGATGAAAATTCAATTTAGGAGATGGCAAAGACTTCACCAAATGGTTCCTGAGAGGTTCATAGGCGACAACCCAGTATTTTTTGTATGTACTAATATTTTACTGTTTGGTTTTGACAGAAGCCGACCATCTTTTTCAAAAAAATATACAGTATTAAAATCTTTCATTCTAAGTTAGGTAATATGTAATTCACTGAGACATTCAAGCTGTCACGAAGCTTATACTATATAGGTTCATGGCACCACCGTTGCCATGGTACATTAGTTGTGGCCTTTAATGTCAGACATTTAGTTGTGGTGGTTACTAATCTTAAATATATCTGTTACAGGTCAAAATTATGTTGAGGTTAAATTTCTTAAACCCAGGTTGATTCTCTATTTCCTGTCTCCTAGCCCTAATACCTGAAGAATAGTTAGGTCTAAGAAACAAATGAAATTTCAAATCAACCTAGGTTAAAAAGTTTTAACTTGAATTTAACGTTGAACTTTGACATGGCTCATAAGGAGGCCTGCAATAAAACCAAGATATCAATAATAGAGTGGTTTTCGTTTGAGTGTCGTAAAACCAAAACCAAAGTAATTACTCTGGCCAATCACATAGGACACAGACAATACATTGAACCAATCAAAACTCGAAGTAATTACATGTGGCTGACGCAAAGCGCGGGAAAATGCATGCGAGCGCGTCACAATTGGCTTTGGTTTTACTTCTGATTGGATGAAAAGGTGGCGCGAATCTTTTAAGCCAATCGCATCGTGTAGAAAGTGCAAAACCAATTACTTTTCGACACTCAAATGAAAACCGCTCTATCAAGCAGGTATTTGGTTATTCTGAACACTCATCTAAGTAAACAGAAGTGGGGATCCAGTAATCTTAATTGTGTCAAAATATGTGCAAGTCACACATATTTGTTTGTTTGTTTTTTTTTTCATCTCATGTTTTCAGAACAAGATTCCTTTTGACCATGCTGTTCAAACTACAGGGGACAGCTGGCACTTTCCAGCCAAGGATGGAAAACAATGGCTATGCATTAGAAAAGAAGAAACTTTTTCTGCTCTTCCTTAACAACAGAACAAGGGAGGACCCAGTAACCCTGCTATAATGCGCCCAGAAATTTACTCCCACCTTTGAATCACTTTGCTCTACTGGCACCTTGTTATCACATACAAGGACTGGAGACTGCTGCATAAACAATTCCTGACTATTATAGTTTTTAAATGGAATTTATCATGTTAGGATGACATTTTTAAGAACAAAAGTTATGAGCAGCCATATTATGCAGAGATCTGCGTTAATGCAAAAAAATTCACAAATTGAATTTACGTTGTTTCCAAGGTAATGAGTGGTCAAACAAAATACCATTTTATGATTAAAGAATGCTTCATGTAGTTACATCAGAAGGCTTTATTTTGTCACACTATATTATTTCTACGATACGCTTCATCTTTGCACTTTTATCCTTCGTTCAAATTATGATTTCCTCTGTTTTATGTTTGGTAATGCATGGTTATGAGTTTGAAACACTGGACAACATTATGTCATGTGAGTGACAGAGTTGCACCAGATATTACAATACTCAGTGAAAAGGATAGTGCTGTTCAATAAAGGATTGATCATAGCCCCCCCAAAAAAATTTCTCTTGTGGGCAGGACAGAGTGGTAAATCTCTTGCACTTGTAAGAATTCTTCCTCCTCCTTGAAGTTAGAAAACCTGTTTTTAACCAAGAGCCTCTCTGCATTTTGCTAATGGTTACATAGTCGTAACAGTTTCCATTTTGTGACAGATGTATATGAAATAAATCATAATAACTGTAGAAATGAAATCAAATGAAGAATGATCCTTGCAGTTGTGAACTCTATTAATTTATGCAATTGCATAAGAAGCCTGTTGAAGTCCTGAATTTTTTTTTCAGGCTTCTTCCACAATTATTGCATAAATTTTGTTCATGACTGTGACTGGGAAGACTAAACTGCAAGCAAGAGCATTATTTTATTATTACTAGGTGGTTTTGTGTCCAGCTTGCATAAACTGATCTTTGCTGTCATTGGTCATAAAAACACATTAAGACAGAATCAATCAGGAAATTGAGTACTTTGAATTTCATTGGAAAAAAACCTTGTACCAGAATATTTTACGCAAGATCCCATTCTTTTTTACACATTTCAAGAGCTTTAAATTAATGTAATAGATTAAATGAAATAACTTCAAAGAAAAGGTTCCTATGGGAGCCCAAGAAAATAAATTTCAAATTTCTCAAGAACTGAGAAAACACAGGTAAAATTGCCATGCCTGACGATGCCTGACTGGCTGCTGAGACTTCACTTTGTGAAAATCTGAAGCTTTTGAAGTTTGTTTTCTCAGGGCTCCCATAAGAACCTTTACTTTGGAGTTATTTTATATTACTTATTACATTTAGAGCCCCCAAAAAGTGTAGAAAAGAATGCAATATGATTACAATTATTCTGGTACAAGATTTTTGTCCACTGAAAATTAAAATTACCGTACCCAATTTCCAAATGGATTCTGTCTCAAACATTCCTAAACTATTTCAGGGGTTCACAATTTTGTTCCTTTGACATTAAATACTTTAGTACAAAACAGAGACAAAGAGAAGAAAAAATTACAGCCTGTCATTTTAATAATATTTGTAAAACAAATCACAAAGTACAAAATAATGACCTACTCAGCAACATTTACTTCAACTTAAAACAATAACACTTTGGCAAAACAGAACAGAAGGCCTGAAGGCAGAGAAACAATGAATAACGTTTCCCTTGGTAAATCATTTAATATGCATGTATGCATGTATAAAATTAATTTATTTCACTATTATATTAGTATGGGAAATTAAAATAACTTTTATCATTTTAAACACTGTACATTATTACACTAAGTCTTGAAAACTGCTAATTTTCCACCTGCAGACCTTCCCTCCATTAGTGATTTAATGATTTTAACAAATTTGGAAAATTTATCTTGTATTCAAATCTCGCTTTTATCATTCCTGATTGTGTTGAAAGTATCCTTGGGATAACAGAATACTTTGTGTTTTCACTATTTATTAATTTCCCATGTCCCCATAGTCTCCCTTGCAGCTGTTTTTAGTGTCGTCATGCAACACTCCTCCCCTCTAAAAATGGCTGCGAGGGAGACCAATGTCCCCAGTGCTTAACAAACAATGGAAAATTTCTTGTCAGTAATTAACAGACACGAGCTACTGATTGAAACAGAGATGAGAGATTACAATACTTCTCAATTCCCCTAGCAATAAACATTAAAAATCTAAAAGCTAAAATATTTACACATTATAAACAACTTTCTGCTGTGCGAAAATATTGAAGAACTGCACTGCTTCAGGAGCATCTTAAGCAGGAACTTACAATAACTAGCCAAGTACATGTATGCACCGATGGTGATCTAGCCCCAGTCATCATTTTTCCCTCAGTTAAGAACCACCTTTCTTGGCTCCAGGTCAGGATCTATTACCACAAAGTATGTTGCCAAAATCACAGATGGAACGCAACACAAACTTGGATATAATCAGTCATGTGTGCCTAGGTATTACAGGTAACCCAGTAATACCCAATAATTAAAGACTACATAACACAACAGCTGAAATACAAACAAGCTTCTTTACAAATCTGTGATAAGCTTGATATATCTTTGTTTGGTATTCATGGACTCCCACTTATGTCTTCAGGAATTGGTGTTAATGTGTAAGTAAATTTTCACTTCCTGATCATTCCTCGACCACGTCCAGCCATCTTTAGTGAGTGTTGATAAACTGGGTTCTTAACACCTGCAATCAAACATTTATAATAAATCATCAAAATTGTTGTCAGATTCTCAAAGTGGTCGTGACTAGCATGGATACCTCAAAATCAGGTTGGACACCTTATGATTATTACCCAACGCTATTCTCTACACTACGCTATTTGGGCACATTTATTGGGCACAAGAACTTTTAGAAAAGAGGGGAAATCGGAGTAGGAGACAGTTGTGCAAGGAAAAGAGTTGAATACAGGGTTTATCACCAAAGTACAGTCATTAGGGTTAAGCACTGCTTTAAAAAGGGTTAGCTTTCAATAATGTAATGATAATGTAATGTACGTTAAAATTAACTGGTCTCGGCAGTTAGCCCTTGATGGTGTAGTGGATATGGATATGGATTATACATCAAAATAAATGACACGGGTTCAAGTCCTACATACTACCTACTGTTTTCTTTCTTCTCTTATTTAATGCTTTAAGTTATAAGACTCCTATCATGTATTTTGAGTGAAGATGACAATCTGACTTTGGAGTATCCATTCTAGTCACAACCCTTCCAAAATGAATGGCCCAGTGAAGTGACATCAAAATTAAAGACAGGAAAGTGGCCCTAGTCTCCACTAAAACAGTTCTCATTATGCCAAATCATGAATTTTACCATCACATTGTCTCTTGTGTAATTGAATGGAAAAAGAACCAAGGGTAGAACCAGGGGTAAAATGTTACTCCAAGTCATTTGGACTTTAAAACAGACACCAAACAGAGCAAACCAAGAGTCCACATAACAGGGGGTGTGCATAAGGAAACATGACTAATAGAAGTATTATTTCAATAATATTGAAATTTTGAAAAAAGTGAGGACAATTTTAAAATTTGTTTAATTTTTAAAATTTATTTTATTTGACTAAAAATTAAAATAATAAAAATGGAATCTGTTTACTGAAATGGCTTACCTTTTCTGGTCACTGCTGTCCACTCATCAGAGACAGCTTCACCATTGGTTGCCTGAAAATTAACAGACAATGTACGTTTGTAAAAATATGATTAACAAATAGCCTTCTAGAAAGATCTTTTCTTGCTAGAAAGGTAAGGAGTTTTTTTCCTTGTGATGGTATGGTCGAATAGAGCATATTCTGCTCAAAACCTTTACACACTGCGAGCAGAGGTTTCTCTCGCATGGCTTGGAACAACTTCGTAAATGCTAAAAGCCATGGAAGAGAGAAAGAAACCCAGAGGCAGATCCAGGGGGAGGTTTGAGGGGGTTGCAACCCCCCCTTGGGAAGTTTTCAAACTTGTCTGGGTACCCATGTCTATCCCTTTTTCATACCAAAAATAATATTATAAGTTATAATATATGTTCCAGTCCAATCGACCATTACAAGATGACTGTAGCTATTCCTCTTCTTGACTCCTTAATCATCCAAATGCAAGATCAATTTTCTGACAAAGATCACCACGCCTGCCATCTGCTTTGTCTCATGCTAACGATTATAGTAAATAAGGCACTGCAGCTGGATGATGAACTAGAAGGCATGCTGTTCTGGGAGAAAGACACTCCATTTCTCAAATCCATTGGAAATGAGATACGTAGATGGAAAACACTCTGGTAGTCAACAGATAGGGAGCTTCCACACAACCTTTTATTAGCACTTGGTGTTTGAGATGAAGATGCTTTTCCAAACATCTTTTGCGTTCTGGTCATTGCTTGCACCCTACCGATCACAAGCGCAGAAGCCTAGCGATTGTTTTCACTTATGAAATGAATCAAGACCTACTCTAGGTCAATAATGCCTGGACAGCGATTCTCTGATCTCCAAGTGATCGCCAGGTACTACTCTGAGAGATTTGAGGTAGACGAGATATGCTAAGCCTTTGTGAGGCTCATCCAAGAAGGCTCTTTCAAGCTAGTCTGTTTGATTAAATAGGCGGGTAAAAAAAGAAACAAACAACTCTCGTTGGTGCACTGTACAACTTAGTCCTTAATAATAGTGTCTCAAATTTATACCTCTGAAATCAAAATGAAGAAAATCTACAAATTCAAACATAACCCCATCCCTAATGCTCCCCCTCCCCCATTCCTTTGGCCCTGGGATGTTTGCCCCTGAAACCTTTGCTCGCACAGTACAAACCCTTTAAGCTGAACAATTCAAAAGGACTTTTATAGTTTGAATTTGTGACAGGTGTTTAAAACATGACATCTGGTCCCGTGTGAGTAGTCACCTTGGTGCACCTATCTTGCCCTACCACCAAATGAACAGACTCACTGTTAAAATAAACCTAAAATGCAAAATGATCATTACCTCAGGCAAGTTGAAGGCAGTTTCATCACCTCCATTCTGAGAAGGCTGCTGAGAGACTGGTGGGCCAACAGCAGCAGATGGCATGGAAGAAGAGCTAGGAGGTTTAACTACTGGCTGCCCCTGCCCCCTCCCCCTGGGCTGCGGCTGCCCTGCTTGGTTCAGAAGATGTAACTCATGTGTTTCTCTTAGTCTCTGATGGTCTGTAGCAGTTCTTGCAGCCATTGGTTTGTTGGGTGTTGGGTCAACTGTTACAAAAATGATAAGTATACATAATTTTAATATACACCTAAAATAAAATTAATGCCATATACTAGTAACAGGAAAAAAAAATTAACAGCTCCATGTAAATAGGAGTAAATAACTTAAACTACATTCAAGGATCTGGTCAGACAAAAGGGTGGCATTCAAAACAATATTTATGGTGGCCAATTTAACTTTTCTCGACTCAACTAAAGTCAAATAGAGGTATTATTAGCTATTGTTACTACAACAAGCCTTTGAAAGGGACAGGCTTTCATGCATCAATTTCCTCAAATCAAAAGCACTCGCTAACTAAAAAAATTAAACGCAGGTACAAAACCCTAACTGCGGACAAAACTTCTTAAAACAGCTTACTTGTAACATCGTCCTTATCTGTAGGTAAAGTTCTGAAAATTTAATTTAATTCTTGGTATTTCATAAGAACACGTAAAGTATTGATCACACTTACCCACAGGGATGTTGAGACCAAGCAAAGCAACCTTTGCAGCATCATGCCTTGCTTCCTTCTTAGTACGTGTCATGAAGTACAATCACTTTTAGACTGGAAAGTGTTTGTGGACACTTGGTATAGGTGGGTCGTGTGGTCCATGAAGTGACATAAACCCTTGTAATTAAGCTGAAAAAACCGTATATTGGTTTAAGATGCTAACAAAGTCCACAAAGCTGCCTGGAATTGTGAAAACACAACAAGCAATCACAATTGACAGTCTTAAGAGAATGCTATTGTTATATTCATTTTTAAGAAAGTAATGTGGTTACAGGTCACATTAATTTTGACTTCAAGATAATTTTGTGTTAACTTTAGGATGATTTTCAATTCCCCGTCTCCTTGCCCTAGGAGACAGAAGAAATTGAGAATCAACCTAAATTCAAAATTTTAACCTGACACATACAAATGAGGTAATTTGAAAGGGGAATCTACCAGTTAATCAACAATGATTGTATCTTTACATATTATTTTTAAAAAAATGGTAAAACATGTTGAGGCCTTTTATCTGGGTTTGTACCCTTTAATAAGTTTTAAAATTGCCTCACTTTGGAACACAGTCAACTACTGTTATTGCAGACACCCTTCCAACATCACATTAGTGTCCATAATAAGATGCCATAAAACTGAATAGCTCAAGTTGAAGACTAACTACCTTGTTATTCATGTTCGCTATTCAGTCACCTAGAACTTATTGGCATCTTCTCTCTTATCATACATATTGCAGTTCAATTTAATCCTTGGTTTAAATGTTACTGTAGGAGGCAAACCACTTGGCTACTTTACAAGTGTTGCCGAAGATTTGAATTCAAGACTACTGAGAACAAATACAGCTAGTGGTTAGGGGGGGTCTTGAACTCTGGGCCTCCAGATTACAGCCCAGTGCCCTAAAGGCTCAGGCATGCTTCCTCCTTATTTTTCCTTTGTTTATAAGTAGGTAAAGGAGGTAGATAATGAAATTTAACCACAACATGTACATAGGCATTTTGTTATGTTCTACCTGATGTTTTGTTTCTAAGGACAGCATACTGATTAGCAATGGCCTGTAATCTTTCTTCATCTGTCATCTGAGGTTCGTCAGCATTTCTAGAAAACCAAAAAACCAACTCAAAGAAAATGCTGTGGTTCAATTTTACACCTGGTTTAAATTTGACACTATTTTGTTTGCAACTCGTTATCACACATTATCATACCCAATGACAAAAGAAAATAAAATTTAAACCAAGCATAAAATATTAAACTACAACATAAACATATCCATAGTAGGACAATAATAACAATTACGATCATTACTATTTATTGTTGCTTCTGAGCCCATTTCCAACGAAACAGAAAACATTACTAGTAGCAAGACACACTTACTCTTCAGCTTCCCTTTTCTCTTGCCGTTTTTGAGAACGTTTTAGGTTCTTCTTCTGTGTTGCTGTCAAACTAAATTGAAAAAGCCCTTTGTGGTTAAAATCATCTCAAAAAAGCTATTGAATGTTGCTAGAAAGTATTGATG